CGGGAGTCATATTTTTGAGGTCCTGAATCGTTGCCGAGTCCAACGATACAAATATGTTCGGGTTTCGTCTCACGGATGGCGTAGCGTAGCGATTTAGCGCGAAAAAAACAACTTGGCGAATCTTCAAAACCGCTGTTCCGATCGAGACGAAACCACCGCCAGAAACACGGAATCATAGCTTGTTAACTAAACGCTAATGCCCAAATGCGTAAATATTGATTAGTAAGGGGTAGTAAAATTCAAACAAAGTCATGTGTCAGTCATTTTTTACGTGTTTTTTCATATAAATGTTTATAACTCGGAAGTAAATTGAGATATTTGCACCAAAATTGACACACATATGTATGGGGTCACTCTGAGGACACATAAAAAAAATTGTGGGACTGAGCCTCTTGGTGGCGCTATAATAGAACAAAACGTGAATTCCCATTGACTTCAATACAGTTTTGTGAAATACAATGCTATACTAAACAAATGCTTTGGTCTAAACATTACGAAACTCAGTGTGTGCCATAAGCAGCATGCCCTGAAGGTACTCAAAAGATTTTGAGACAGCGCCACCTGTTGGTCAAAAGTTATAATTAATTTCTGAGAACGCTAATAACTTTTTGAATAAATTTGCCTATTGCAATGAAACTGATCTTAATAGATTCCTTTGGGTTATGCCGAAAACATAGATATCAGGTTTTGCATAATCAGCCAAACTTCCTGTCCGCCATCTTTATTTCTTTTGAAAAGCCTTCTTTTTCGAAATCCTCCTAGACGTTTGTCCGATTTTCACGAAAAATTAATCGCATCATCTCCAGACCGTGCGACTAAAAGTTATGAATTGCACGATGATAGACAAAACCGTTTTCGTATACCACAGCATCAAAGTTTAGGCATGCTGCCAAAATTACTATTTAGGCTTTATCTCTGCAATGCCTTCACATTTTGACACCAAACTTTGCATGTGTCATTGTCACCTCCCTCTGACCACATCACATCTATTTCGTAACTGCGCCACCTATTGTTCGAAAGTGATAACCATTAAATCATCTTATAAGTTAATGTTTATGTGATTTTTTTAGCCATTTGCCCAAAGTTCTCTCAAAATGCCCTTAATTGCTCCTTGCTGCAGTTGGTCTGCCACTCCTTGCCATTTTGGCATATGTTGCCGCTTCTTGCGCTTGGCCCCGGTAATGGCTGCTTGCAGCTATATTTATTATTATTCTTCTTTCCGACTGGGCGTCTATGGCAGCCCATAGACCGGTTTGCGGGAAAGTTGTTTTGGTTTGACATTCTGATAGAGGACAGTCCCAACTTTAAATACACCAATTTTGGTGTCTCTAACTCATTCCCTCTAGCGCCACCAACTGTCCAAAATTTCACTTTTATTATGCTAATAACTTTTGAACCGTAAGGCCTATCAACAAAATTCTTTTTCCTCTTGTTCCTGAGCTCATGCCGATTCGATCACACCCTATGACGTCATTTTCCGTCATAAAAACATGGCCGCCATTTTGAATTTTCTAAAAAACGTACTTTTGCGAACTCGTCCTAGACCGTTTGTCCGATTTTCACCAAAATCGCACCGGATCATCTCCAGGCAGTGCTGACAAAAAGTTATGGAATTCAAGATAATTCGAATAACCGTTTTTGATAAACGCACAAACTAATTTTACGTAACCCTTGCGAAAACAGATGTAAGGCTGTATCTCCGCAACGCTTCATCCTATTCAGACCAAACTTGGTACATGTAATCACAAGCATGACCTGAGGCTACATACAGCGTTTCGGCGCAGCGCCACCTAGTGGTCCGGAGATATGAAAAATGGCTATTTTTGCTCATAACTTCTGAACGGTTTCTCCAAAAATCAAAAACTTGGTCTCGTTAGATTCAGGGCATCATGCCGAGTCGACCGATATCCAATTTTCCCAGATCGGTCATTTTGGCTGTCGGCCATTTTGAATTATGTGCTAAAATGCTGTATTTTTTGAACGCATGAACGAATTGTTACGAAACTCGGTATGGGTCATCAGTACATGCCTGAAGGAGCCTGAGAAGTTTCGAAACAGCGCCACCTAGTGGTGAATTTTTTTTTTTCAAACGCTTATAACTTTGGGTGTGGTACACTTATTTTCACGGGAGTCATATTTTTGAGGTCCTGAATCGTTGCCGAGTCCAACGATACCAAAAATATGTCGGGTTTCGTCTCACGGATGGCGTAGCGTAGCGATTTAGCGCGAAAAAAACTACTTGGCGATATCTTCAAAACCGCTGTTTCCGATCGAGACGAAACCACCGCCAGAAACACGCGAAATCATAGCTTGTTAACTATACGCTAATGCCCAAATGCGAAAATATTGATAGTAAGGGTAGTAAAATTCAAACAAAGTCATGTGTCAGTCATTTTTTACGTGTTTTTTCATATAAATGTTTTATAACTCGGAAGCGAATTGAGATATTTTCACCAAAATTGACACACATATGTATGGGTCACTCTGAGGACACATAAAAAAAATTGTGGGACTGAGCCTCTTGGTGGCGCTATAATAGAACAAAACGTGAAATTCCCATTGACTTCAATACAGTTTTGTGAAATACAATGCTATACTAAACAAATGCTTTGGTCTAACATTACGAAACTCAGTGTGTGCCATAAGCAGCATGCCCTGAAGGTACTCAAAAGATTTTGAGACAGCGCCACCTGTTGGTCAAAAGTTATAATTAATTTCTGAGAACGCTAATAACTTTTGAACAAATTTGCCTATTGCAATGAAACTGATCTTAATAGATTCCTTGGGTTATGCCGAAAACATAGATATCAGGTTTTGCATAATCAGCCAAACTTCCTGTCCGCCATCTTTATTTCTTTGAAAAACCTTCTTTTTCGAACTCCTCCTAGACCGTTTGTCCGATTTTCACGAAAATTGAATCGCATCATCTGCAGACAGTGCCAAATAAAAGTTATGGATTGCGTGACGAAAGACAAAACCGTTTTCGTATACCACAGCATCAAATTTGGGGCATGCTGCCAAAATGACTATTTAGGCTTTATCTCTGCAATGCCTTCACATTTTGACACCAAACTTTGCATGTGTCATTGTCACCTCACTCTGACCACATCACATCTATTTCGTAACTGCGCCACCTATTGTTCGAAAGTGATAACCCATTAAATCATCTTATAAGTTAATGTTTATGTGATTTTCTTAGCCATTTGCCCAAAGTTCTCTCAAAATGCCCTTAATTGCTCCTTGCTGCAGTTGGTCTGCCACTCCTTGCCATTTTGGCATATGTTGCCGCTTCTTGCGCTTGGCCCCGGTAATGGCTGCTTGCAGCTATATTTATGTTTTAAATTAGGGCTGTCAAACGATTAATCACGATTAATCGCATCCAAAATAAAAGTTTGTGTTTACATAATATATGTGGGTGCACTATGTATAATTATTTTATATATATATATATATATATATATATATATATATACACACACACATGCTTGTATATATTTAAGAAATATCTTCATGTATATAATGTATATAGATTTATATATAGTTTATATTATATTTAAATATTTTATATATAAATAATATTTTTTTTCTTAAATATACATGCATGTGTTTGCATTTATATATATGCAAAATAATTATACACAGTGCACCCACACATATTATGTAAACACAAACTTTTATTTTGGATGCGATTAATCACGATTAATCGTTTGACAGCCCTATTTTAAATATTACCAAACTTTTTAATTTTTTCTTTTTTTTACTGTTGCATTAAGTATATTATACTATTTTATTTTTTATTTCATTTAATGTATTGTTTTTTGATCATAGTTGTGTTGATTTTAATGATCTGAACATTTTATTCTGAGCTTTTAACACACATTTATACTATTTTATACTACGAATGTTCAATGTGGACCCCAGGAAGACTAGCAACCGCTTTGTGGAATCTAGCAGAGATCAAAATGAAGAATAAAGAGCAAAATCTGAGGCATAGATGAAAACAATCTCCTTGTCTGATTTGCCCCTGGCTTGCTCTGGATTTCTTTCTACATTTCTCATAAGCTTCGCCTCCCTCTCTCTCATACCTTCCTCAACTCCAGTAACGATGGATGCAAAGTTGTCGTCCAGCAGGATCATGTCTGCAGCCTGCTTGGAGACGTCTGAGCCCGAGATCCCCATGGCAACACCGATGTCTGCCTTCTTCAGAGCGGGGGAGTCATTCACTCCGTCACCAGTCACGGCCACAATGGCGCCCTAAAGGACACAGACACACAGAGAGTGTGTGTAGTCACTTATATGATTACTAATGAAGAGTTTAAATGAACAGGTTTTAAGGTGAATGCTAGTGTGTGTGTGTGTGTACCTGTCTCTGGCAGCCTTCCACGATGATGAGTTTCTGCTGGGGAGAGGTCCTGGCGAACACAATCTCTGTGTGATTCCTCAGCAGTTCATCCATCTGATCCTGCGTGAGATCCTTCAGATCTGAGCCGTGGATCACACAGGCTTTAGCATCCCTGACAACACACGCATGAAGAATACTAAATGGAAACTCGCTCTCCGGTTGTGTCAAAATCAGACAAACTGTACAGCTGCTGTCAGAGCAATAAATATTACACGAACCAGTTTAACATTATCCAGAAGATTCAGTTCCGTTTTTAACACTAGAACGGCCACAACGGTCATTTTGACCGTTTTGAATTTTATATCTACAATAACTTTGTTGAAAAAAATAATAAAATCCTGCTGGTACCTGACTTTTCCTAAAATTGTCTGTATTTTCATTTAAAATGCTTTAAGTTACGTAAACGTAAGGCAAAACAAAAAAAATGAACATATTTACCTATTTCGGCCATAGACGGTCATATTGACCGCACTGAATTTTGCGGTATTTTTTTGTTAAATATCCCGCGGTTGATCGTGTTCTCTCTCAACTGTCAACAGGTCCGTCCGGTCACCTCTGTAGCAGTGTTTGCCATATAATAATTTCTACATTAGTTGTTGATCAGAAATAAGCAAATAAAACCGGACTACAGTTATCTATAATTCGGATGCAGGGGAACAATCGGAGGTGGAGTGACAGCGACGTTTCCTGGGTGCAAGTTAACATTTCCTCCTCATCAGAGAGTGATTCAGAGTCAGAGTCCACATCAAGGAAAAAGAGACGGCTGCTATCATCAGACACGGCGGATCCAGATGTTCTATTTATGTCGGGTGATCGTGGTGAGCTCTGCTGCCCTGTCCTGCGCTGTTTGTTTTGCTGCATCTGTTCACTAGTTCTGCGAGTCCTATTATTATAGCCTTGACCGCGTCGCAAATCGTCGCTATCTAACATTTTCGTCATAGTCTTTGTCATTCAAACCTTGTTTTTATTTAGTTATCGTCTCGTTTTCGTCTTTGAAAAAATGTGGTTGACAAAAATAATTACGAAAATTATTCATCAACACTGTTTTGAATCTAACGGTCAAAATGACCGCTTGTGGCCGTTCTAGTAGTTTTGGAATTCTGGCACTTCTAGTGTTAATGGTCCGTCATTAGAGGTATAGTTCACTTTGAAATTAATTTTTGATATGTTTTAGCTTACCTCAAGGGCATCCAAGATGTAGGTGTCTTTGTTTCCACAGTAGTTTCAATTTTGATATTTTTAGGTCAAACCGTTTTTTGTCTGTCAGTCTTATAATGGAGGTCTATGGTCACCACCTCAAAGAGCATGCACAGAGAAGTCCAAATTAAACATGATTTAATGACTCGTAAATGTAAGTACACATTGATGGCCTAAGACACGAAACAAGTGATTTGTGTGAGAAAACAAACAGTATTTATATCGTTTTTACCTCTTGTAACCACAGCCACGTCCAAGTGATCTGATCTGTTGATATATCGAAATCGTCTTCCATTGCGATTTTCTGTATATCTAAATATGTCTAGATCTTCACAATGAAAGGTAACACTCCGAAATCTCTGTGTAAACAATGAGTCACACTTGCACAGACCGAAGCACCCGCGCCCTCAGATCACTTGGACGTGGCTGTGGTTACATGAGGTAAAAAACGATATAAATACTGCTCGTTTTCTCACACAAACCGCTCGTTTCGTGTCTTAGGCAATCAATGTGTACTTACATTTACGAGTCATTAAATCATGTTTAATTTGGACTTCTCTGTGCATGCTCTTTGAGGTGGTGACCATAGACCTCCATTATATGACTGACAGACAAGAACGGTTTGACCTAAAAATATCAAAATTGAAACTACTGCAGAAACAAAGACACCTACATCTTAGATGCCCTTGAGGTAAGCTGAAACATAGCAAAAATTAATTTCAAAGTGAACTATTCCTTTAAGGAGGTTTAGATCTTTCTATTGGAAAACATTATAAAAATAAATGCACTAGAATGATGTTTACTTTCTACCTCCTAGGAATCTGATTGAGACGAACTCTAGGTTTTTATCCTGTATGTTTTTCCTGAAACTGCACCATTATCAGGCAAAAGCATTTTCCTCCATTGACAGACATTCAAAAGTAGCCATGTATTCTCCTTTTGTAAAAATAATTTGCTAATATTTTGTTATATTATTGTAGATGCTTTACCACTGCCTGATTTTGGAAGGTACTATACTGGTTGAAACCAGCCTGATGCAATTTAGCCAAACAACATCCTTTGTCATTCCAAGAAACAATTTTCCTATCAAGCATTCATAAACCAAATCCTAACCCTAGCCTACTTCAAAAAGCATACGATTGGTGGAAATGAACGCTGTTCAGACATAATCTGATCAGACGATAGGAAAGTACGTTGATCCAGGAACATCATGAACCTTTAGCACAGGCTAAAGATATTTTTATCCATAGAATAGTAAAGTGTTTACAGAAAATTATGGGAAGAAACAGCCAAAATGTGATTGTGGAGTTTCCTGTGTGTTTTAATACTCTACCTGGGGTTGACCTGGCTGACAGGAATATTAAGCCGAGCGGCGATGTCCTCCACGGTTTCGTTCCCCTCAGAGATGATACCGACACCTTTAGCAATGGCCTTGGCCGTGATTGGATGGTCACCGGTCACCATGATGACTTTGATACCAGCTGAGCGGCATTTGCCCACAGCGTCGGGGACGGCAGCTCGGGGAGGGTCAATCATGGATATCAGACCCACAAAGCACAGTTTGTCAGTCTGGAAGTTGATGTCGTCGGTGTCAAAGGCAAATCCTTTGGGGTACTTGTCCTCGGGCAGGAACACGTGGCAGAAACCTGGATGGAAGAAGGAAAAACAAGAGAAATGGATTTATTCCACAGTTTTGAGGAGCAAATGTATTGTTTTTTCTATTCGTATTTGTGCCTTTTTAATATGATTTTTGTCTATTTCTATTTCTCACCAAGAACTCTTTCTCCCAGCCCTCCGAGTTCCAGGTAGGCGTTCTGGAAGGCCTCCTTCATTTCCTCATCCATGGGCTGCTCTTTCCCCTGAATGAGGATGTTGGAGCAACGGTCCAGGATGCGCTCTGGCGCCCCCTTCATTACCAGCAGGTAGTGGCTATCGGTCCCCTCATCCGTCTCGTGCACTGACAGCTGGTGGGAAAACATATGAGAATGAGAGTTAATCAGAACTGAATGTGAATGAAGATGATCATGTTTAACTATCCCTAAGAATTAAAGTAAAACATCTTAGAAAAATGGCACTGTCTAATGATGAACTAAACAAATCTATCGTTATCTATATACAAAATCCTCCAATTATATTTAAAAGGATAATCTTTAGCATTGATGAAATATTAAATATTTGTCTAATTGTTAGTTGAAATGAAATCTGTGATTTGGATACTATAATCCATCTAAAACTATTTTAAGCAATATTTTGCTCATTTTTGATTATTATTATGCACGCAGCTTCAATAATTATTATGCATGTAGCTTCACAATATATGAATGACTAAACATCATGTTTGTAATAAAGAAACAATATTACAAAACAACAATAGTAGATTAAATATATTAAAAAAAATCTATCTAAAAATAATAAAAAACATGTAATATTTGTAATAAAAAACACTTCATTGAAGGACCATTTGACATGAACTTATGAAAGTAAAAAAGTTTTTAAAAATGGTGATAAACTTAATATAAATGGTGACAGAACCTACACTTTTCTTACACATACAAATACATTTAACATAAAATCTGATCGTTAATCAGAAATAGGGGACATGTCAACCGTCCATTTTGCAATTCAAGTTAAAATAACATCATACTGTTTAATATTGGGTTAAGTTGCACAATATTTTCCTGGAATAATAATAATAATAACAAATATAAAGTGTTGTTACACCAAACTTACATTTTTTACATTTTATTATGCACAGATAGTAAAAAAAAATAATATTATTTTAAGTATTAAGTAATGAAGGTTATGTTTACTGAGTTAATGGATGCCAGACTTACAATTACAGAAAACAAACCTGGTATTTGTTGGTGGAGTTGAATGGAATTTCAGCCACTTTTTTGTTCTTTTCCCTCATGGCTTTGACGGACCCACAGGAGAGCTCGATGCACTTGAGAAGAGCCGACTCCGAGGCGTCTCCTGCAACGTCGCGCTTCAGGATAGGCAGAGAATCCTGTCCCGCCTTAAACACGGCTCTGTTACAGAGCGCTGCCACACGGGCCAGAGCCAACCACGTCCCAGAGCTCTTATCAAAGGACGCACCTAGAACAGATCACACACGCAATCAATACAGTATCTATCTATCTATCTATCTATCTATTTATCTATCTATCTATCTATCTATCTAGGATAGGCGTGGCCTCCTAAGGCAGCGAAGCAAGTGCATTCTGGGAGTTGTTTTATTGCTTTTCTCAGTCTAGAAAGTTCCAAATTCAAAAATAATTTCACATTTCTTCTACATAAATGACCCATTTTAAATGCACATTCATCTTTCCAGAGGTGAAGTATCCCTTTAAGTTAAATATCATAACCATGAAAACCATCATACGTTTGTTCTTTGACAAATACAAAGAACAGCTTTTATTTGAAACAGAGGTCTTTTGTAACATTATAAATGTCTGTACAGTCATCCCTGCTCATTTATTTCCAAACTAAATCTTACAGACCCCAAACTTTTTGGAATGGTATAGATCTATCTACCCAGAACCCCCAAGCAACCACCTAGCCATCCTCTCGCAGCTCACCAGACTGATCTTCAGTGGTGTCGGCCTCATGGATCTGATTGTCGAACCACATGTGGGCGACAGTCATGCGGTTCTGCGTCAGGGTGCCGGTTTTATCAGAGCAGATGGTGGAGGTGGATCCCAGAGTCTCCACAGCCTCCAGATTCTTCACCAGGCAGTTCTTACGGGCCATGCGCTTGGCCGTGAGGGTCAGACACACCTGAGACACGGAGACAGAAAGATAGAGCGAGAGGAACGGAAACAGAGGACCAGAAAAAACAGAGCAAAAGGAAGAGTGGTGGAGGCAGAAGTTAAAAGGAAAAAGAGGTGGAGAGAAAGAGAACCAACAGAATTTCAGTGACATGTTGTGGCACAATGCAACATCGTGCATAATAGAACAGTGTTAAATCAAAGCGAAGCACAGCACAGATAGAGAAAGCAGAGTGGTCAGAAACATACTCTACGCGACTGTCTAGCTTTTGTTATTGATGTCAAATTATATCTGATATATTTAACGGATATTAGCACAAATTCATCTGTTACTTGATTGGAGTCAGTCAAATTAGATGACCTCATGCCCTCATCATCCAAAGCCTAAAAAAATAAATAAAAAAAAATAACCCAATCCTTATTGATAATAAAGGGTTCTCTTGCAGTGAGAAAAACATATGTGCAGACCACAGTTTATTTTCTAAGGTGAACGATTGTCTGCCAGGGAACATGCAAAATGCAGTAACCATATATTTTTTTGTCTTTTAGACTATGATCTGACCTGTGACAGATGAGCTTGGTTAATCAGATTCAAAGAAAATGGAGTGTGTAAATTGATGTAAAAATCAATCAAAATGTATTTCTGTGATGCATTTGACAAAGCTTTGCACCAAAAAAACAAGATACGTATACATGTTATACAAGTTATATGTTTTTAATATTGTTGATAATAATAAATGTTTCTTGAGCATCAAATCAACATATTAGAATGATTTCTGAAGGATCATGTGACACTGAAGACTAGAGTAATGATGCTGAAAATTCAGCTTTACATCACAGGAATCAATTACATTTTAATATATATATATATAAACAGAAAACAATTTTAGGCTGTAAAACGATTTCACAATATTAAAGTTTTACTGTATTTCTGAATAATAATAATAATAATAATAAATACATCCTAGCTAGGTTCAGATAAAAAGTGTATATATATATATATATATATATATATATATATATATATATATATATTACTTCATTAAAAACAATTTTACCAACCTCAAACCTTTGAGGGGAAACATATTATTGTATATTGTATATATTATTGTAGTGCTTTAATCTTTTTTATTTATTAACATTTTAAAAAAATCTACAAGACAAATCCAGGTAGTGGAGATAAGCATGCAAATTCTTCTTATGGACATAAAGGGCCAAATTTATTGGGTAAATTAGTGTGAGAGTGCAATCCCATAAAATAGGGTTTGTGCTGGAGCAAGCTGTTAGTAAATCTGACTCAAAATAGCTAAAAAAATAGGTTACAAAATTATTTTTTAAAAATTTAATGTTCCTATTTTTAAATAAAATGATGAATTTTAATGCTGAAGAATAATAGAATAACATTTACTCTAAAAATAATATTAATTTGCCAGTTTGGTACAGTCAAAACAATAAAATAAATATATATCATTAATGCAAAAAATACAAATGTCCTCAGTGTCGGTGTAGGGAATCTATAGCCAATGCATATTTGCGTTAGATTAAATTAAAGATGCACGAAACGGAGTGTGACGTCTGCGTAGGGTATGTTTCAGGCCTACAGTAGTTGTGTATCGCAGCCAGAGGCACAGGCCAACCTCAATGCACAGCTGAGCACAGCGTCTGCTCTATGTGGCAGCCACTAGCTAGCTTTCACAGGCAACTAGAGATACCACAGAGCAATACTTTCAGATTTTCATATTGACCTATAGGCTTTCAACAGTGAGAGTCTGTAAAAGAACACAGGAAAGAAACAGACAGAGAGAGAAACAGCGATAGAGTCACAAAGAGTCACAGATATGAAGGATTAAAGAGAGGGAATACAGTTCAAGAACACACACTGTGATGTGGACGAGATGCTACAACACTTCAGTAACACAGTAAAGATGACAAGAAATGAACCAGACACGCAAACGGATGGAACAAACGGAATAGTAGAATAAACGGAGAGACAACAAACACACACACAAAGATTAAATTGTCCAAATATAATCTCATGGAATTTTCCGGAATGGCACACAGAACTGAACTCTGTAACCTGACTAGTACTGTAAAATTATAAGAATGAAACTATATAAACTAAAATTGACTTACTATTTGTTTGTGTATACTATTGAACATGCATGTAGTCAACAAAGCACACTTCATGAGATACTGTCTCCCACTATGCAATGTCATTACTTGACATTTGTACTGTGATGTAAAGCGAAATATCAAACACGAATTTGCGTAAACTTTTAATGATTTGTTTGCGCTGCCAATAATTTTCAAATTTTTTCCATAAAATATAACAGTTTGGGATCTATTTTTTAATGTTCTTTAATTTAATTCTCATATGCTCATCAAGGCTGCATTTGAAATATTATGAAAAGAACAGTTTTTAATTAGGGCTGTAAAACGATTAATCGCGATTAATCACATCCAAAATAAAAGTTTTTGTTGCCATAATATATGTAGGTGCACTGTGTATAATTATTTTGTATATATAAATACACACACATGCTTCTATATTTAAGAAAAAAATATTATTTATATAAATATATAAATCTAAATTCAGTATCTACATGAAACTATTTCTTAAATATTTACAAGCATGTGTGTGTATTTATATATATAAAATAATTATACACAGTGCACCCACATACATTATGCAAACACAAACTTTATTTTGGATGCGATTAATCGTTTGAAAGCCTTATTTTTAATATATTTTTAAATGCGGCAAAGCTGAATTTTCAGCATCATTACTCATCACATGATCCTTTGATTTGCTGCTCAAGAAACATTTCTTATTATCATCAATGTTGAAAACAGTTCATATTTTTATCAGTGTAAACCAGTATCTTGTTTTCTGTCATTTTTGATTAATAGACATTTTTGAAAAATAAATCTTTTGTAACATTCTAAATATCTGCAGTCACTTTTTTATTTGATTTGATGCATCCTTGATGAATAAAAGTTCAAATTTCGTTCCAAAAACAATTGTAGGCTACTGTTTGAACTGTTTGCACTGTTTCACATAATATTTCACATACTCACTAGGCGATATGAAGTGTACATACTGCGCGGTACGTTAGTATTCCATTCCGAACAAAGCCATGAACAAAAAATACCAAACACACATTAATGAAACTGAAAAATGTGAAAAAGACAACACTAGCATCAGGACACAGAATAAAAGCAGCGATCCTCACAGTGACGGTGGCCAGCAGACCCTCGGGCACGTTGGCGACGATGATGCCGATGAGGAAGATGACGGCCTCTAACCAAGTGTAGCCCAGGATGATTGACAGGATAAAGAAGCTCACGCCCAGGAAGACGGCCACGCCGGTGATAATTTGGATGAAGTGCTCGATCTCCTTGGCGATGGGGGTCTTTCCGGTCTCCAGGCCGGAGGTCAGAGTAGCAATGCGGCCCATGACAGTACGGTCACCGGTGCAAACTACAATACCACGAGCAGTTCCTAACAGAGGAGAGAAAACAGCGGCTTTTAATGGGTCGTTCTGGCCAGTGACCCAATCAACCTGTCATTTATTTTGTTATAATGCTCATCTGACATTATTCCATAGCTACTTACCAAATATATGAATGAAAAAGTTTTAAACCAAAACTGATTTGCTTTGAAATGATTTGATTACGTGAGAAGAAAGAGAGTGTAGAGTGATAAAATATGTGGCCACTGAATATCATGACTGACCAATCAGAATTAAGTATTCCAGACCACCGGTTATATTGTGTAGTAGTATTGCTAGTTGCACCTAAATTACACCATTCTTAGTTAGTTTGGCACTTATTTTTTGCCTTATTACAAATTATATTTAATAAATACACCATCGTTCGAAAGTATTGGGTTAGTGTGTTTATGTATATATATATATATATGTGTGTGTGTGTGTGTGTGTGTGTTTGACGTCAAAAGACGTCTTTTGAAGGCCGCATTTACTTGGTCAAAATACATTGAGCTGCTTCATATTTTTGTGGAAACTATGATACTTTTATTTGTATGACTCATTATAAATGTCTTTACTGTTACTTTTGATCAATTAAATGTGTTTTTTGCTGAAAAAAAAACAACAAAAAACCTATTGAACAGATGTTGAACAAATAAATCTCTTTTAATTAAAAAACAACAACGAAATAACTAAGAAATGTATGTCTCATAGTAGCATTTTTCTTAATTTGTCTTTTTAAATCTCCGACCACGAGAAAAAAAAATGACATTGATTTGATGTTCTGTGCAAAATTCTAGAAAGCTCCAGAATCATGTTGTGCAATCCTCTAATCCACCACATGGTGGCAGGAGAGTGTGACCCTGGAGCTGAGCCTGAAACACACTGAGGACTGGACATATGCAATAACCCCTGACCTATCAAAACAACAACATTACAAAACTCACTAACACTGACATGCTCATTTTCTTTGTACTCTGTATCCAATTGCTTTAAATAAAGCAGATGGATTTGTAACAAGTAATATTCATCATCATTCTGAATGTGTAAACCTGTGAAGCAAGTGATGAAAATGTCTTCAGCTCCTGAGGTATTATTCATTCATTCGGATGAATCTGAATTGATTAGTGTCTTACCATTAAAATGAAGCCAAAAGGGTGATATAGAAAGAGAAATGTGTGGAAAAACAAGAGTGTGTAAGCAACCGTGTGGGAAGTTGATGAGTGGTGAGACGGGGAGCAAAAGTGAGAGGTTGTTGTCATGACAACATCTTTTCTCTATGGCTGGTCTTGGCAAAGATGACCAGGGGAAGAAAATGAAGAGATGGGAAAAAGAGTGCAATGAAAAAGCATAGATCGATTGGAGAAGATGAGTTCATAAAGAACAGGAAATGAAATAATAGAGTGAGAGAGAAACCATGGGGGAGAAAATGGAGCGGTGAAGCAGCTGCTATGGCAACCGTACCCTCAACACAGTTGGTGGAGAAGAAGGCGATGTTACGGGTTTCCAGAGGGTTATCATGGGTGCAGTCAGGTGACCTGGTCTGGGGCTCTGATTCGCCGGTCAGGGAGGAGTTGTCAACCTGAAGATTTCAAATATATATACATGTATGTAAATAACAAACTTTTATTTGTTTGCTTGATAAAGCCTTGTCTGAAAGTTTTTTTAAAATATTGAAGATTGAAGGTTCTACAGGCTATAGATTTTAGATAGATAGATAGATAGATAGATAGATAGATAGATAGATAGATAGATAGATAGATAGATAGATAGATAGATAGATAGAATAGATAGATAGATAGATAGATAGATAGATAGATAGATAGATAGATAGATAGATAGATAGATAGATAGATAGATAGATAGATAGATAGATAGATAGATAGATAGATAGATAGATAGATAGAGGGACAGATAAATAGATAAACAGACAGACAGACAGACAGATCGACAGACAGACAGATAGATAGATAGATAGATAGATAGATAGATAGATAGATAGATAGATAGATAGATAGATAGATAGATAGATAGATAGATAGATAGATAGATAGATAGATAGATAGATAGATAGATAGATAGATAGATAGATAGATAGATAGATAGATTAGACACATAAGACACAGATAGATAGACAGACAGACAGACAGACAGATCGACAGACAGATAGATAGATAGATAGATAGATAGATAGATAGATAGATAGATAGATAGATAGATAGATAGATAGATAGATAGATAGATAGATAGATAGATAGATAGATAGATAGATAGATAGATAGATAGATAGATAGATAGATAGAGGGACAGATAAATAGATAAACAGACAGACAGACAGATAGATAGATAGATAGATAGATAGATAGATAGATAGATAGATAGATAGATAGATAGATAGATAGATAGACAGACAGACAGACAGACAGACAGACAGACAGATAGATAGATAGATAGATAGATAGATAGATAGATAGATAGATAGACAGACAGACAGACAGATAGATGGATAGATAGATAGATTAGACACAGATAGATAGAAAGACAGACAGACAGACAGACAGACAGACAAACAGACAGATAGATAGATAGATAGATAGATAGATAGATAGATAGATAGATAGATAGATAGATAGATAGATAGATAGATTAGACACATAAGACGCAGATAGACAGACAGACAGACAGACAGACAGACAGACAGACAGACAGATAGATAGATAGATAGATAGATAGACAGACAGACAGATAGATGGATAGATAGATAGATTAGACACAGATAGATAGACAGACAGAAAGACAGACAGACAGACAGACAGACAGACAGACAGACAAACAGACAGACAGATAGACAGATAGATAGATAGATAGATAGATAGATAGATAGATAGATAGATAGATAGATAGATAGATAGATAGATAGATAGATAGATAGATAGATAGATAGATAGATAGATAGATAGATAGATAGATAGATAGATTAGACACATAAGACGCAGATAGACAGACAGACAGACAGACAGATAGATAGATAGATAGATAGATAGATAGATAGATAGATAGATAGATAGATAGATTAGACACATAAGACACAGATAGACAGATTGCAAGTGTTGATAGTAAATATTTCGATCCATGTGTTGTCCAGGTACCTTGCAGCCGTGAGCAGAGGTGATCCTGAGATCGGCAGGAATCCTGTCTCCTCCCTTCACCTCCACCAGATCACCGGCCACAACCTCCTCAGCGTTAATCTGCAGTTTCTCACCTTCACGGATCACTAAAGCTTGCTGTGTACGACACACACACACGCGTGCACACACACATCAATTTCAACCTCTAATGACTCTAAGGCCAAGGAGAGATTAGAGGAGCATTAATACAGTCTAGAGGATTCAGAGACTCTGCGGAGGGATATAATAATTAGGATTATGGCCAGAGAGGCAAACAGAGGATTATTAAGATTATTGGACTACAGTATATTGGTTATTTGAGTATTGCTCCTCGCTCTCCTTTTGATCCACCCAGACTGTTATTTTCAAGTTGAGAAGCACAACTAGATATATGCAATCTTGGCACTTTTTAATCATAATCTGGATAAAGGCTGCTGGAGGAAGTGATTTTGTGTACCTGGGGGACCATGTTTTTGAAAGACTCCATGATCTTGGAGCTCTTGGCCTCCTGGAAGTAGGAGAAGCAGCCGGTGATGATGACCACAGCAGACAGAACGATCCCCAGATACAACTGCAGAGCAGAGGACAGGTTATCAATCTCACTAGCCTTGATTTCTCTGATCCACCTTGTGAGCCTCATTTGGGTGACACACCAAAATGGAAGTCAAAATCCCCAATATATCACACCAGAAATCCCGTAATCCACGTAAAAACGTGAATAATTATTATATTCTCTCTGTTTTGTATGCATCATCATCATCATTATTATTCTTAACCTGTTAATAGAGGTACGGTAGGCAACACCATTAGGTATGTAGCATGCAACACAAAACGAATACTTTTTCTTCATGATACAGGGAATAATCTTAGTATAGTTTCTATTTTGTTATCATAAGATTTGCAGATATCACTGAGTTTTAATTTGAGGTATAAAAACCGACGATAACACATATTGAAACAATATTTATTCATATAACATAAATTGCCTGTCATTTTCTTCATTTCTAAGTCAATAAAGTGAATGCTAAATGAATAAATGTAGATTTTCAAAAGTTTGGGGTCAGTAGTTTTTTTCAGTCTAATTTAAAAAAATCTTTAAAAAAAAATCAAATTTATTCACAATGTTTTCTGCCACATGTCATTTCTCCAAGCCAAATATACTATAAAAATGAATATATAGCTTTTAATATTGGTGCACTGCCTGAATCTCACCGCATCAAATATGGAATAACTAACACAAATAACACACTACCAAAAGTCTAGCTACTGAATAGCATAACCGGTTATGTCACAAAAATGGACTTATCTACTTGCAGTACAATTATGTTGAATTTGTGCGGTGTTCTAATGAGTGTGTGTGAGTCCTCACGTTGTCTCCCGCAGGCTCGTCCTCCGTGGCGGCCTGGATGGCGTAGGCCAGGAAACAGAGGATGGCTCCGATCCACAGCAGGATGGAGAAGCCTCCGAAGAGCTGTCGGCAGAATTTGACCCACTCTGGGGTGGTGGGGGGTGGGGTGAGAGCGTTGGGACCATCACGAGCGAGGTACTCCGCCGCCTTAGCGTTGGTCAGACCCTTCAGGGGACAAGAGAGTGTGAGAAGAAATCTGATTCACGAGTTCACATCAAACACTACGGCTCTGCCACTAGGGGGCGATGGAGGCCGTGTGGCTAAGATTTGTGGAGATCACTGTTCCTACTCTAAACAAGACAAGCTCATCGTGGTTTACCTTTAAGCTGCTTTGGATGCGAAAAATATGTCTGTATAGTATACGTGTTTTTTTATGGGTTTCATGGCTCATATGGTATGATATGGGAGAATATGGAAGTCATTCTCGAGGAGGAAACTATTAGATAAATTATTTTATTTAGAGGACTAAACTGTGCAAATATACGCAATTTGGTGCACTTGGTGATCTTTATATGGCCAAAAAGATTCAATTTGGTTGCTTGTAATGCAAAAAGTACTTCAGACAACTTAAAATGCATATCATTCTATATATCATCCAATATGTAAGATGATATTTACTTTCTTTCATTTTTAAAGCTCTGTGGTTTTTATTGTGGGGGCAAAACAATACGATGCAATTATAATAAATACAAATAAATATTTCTCTTAAGTCTGATGTATCATATTTGATACTCACATTTACGTTTTTTCTCTAAAAAATAATGTTTGGGTAATCAACTAAACCTAGATTGCTTAAGTCTAGAAACTGTCCATCTTAAAAAAAAAATTTCTAATATTATAAAAGTTATTCTTATGTTTGCTTGATCATGTTGGGTTAATAGAAGCTTTGTGCTTAAATGATCTTTATAGGGTTAATAGAAGCTATGTGTTGGAGTAGTGAAATTGACTGCGTTTCAGTGTCGCATTCAAATGAATAAAAAATTCTGAGAATAAAACCGTCTCATTACAAGAATAAATTAAAAATGTGATAATAGATTAAAGATTAAAGGGAGTAGGGATGGGTATCGAGTTCCATACTTTTAAGGCACCGACCAAATTTTCTCAATACCATCAAGTATCAAAAAACAGTGAGCCAATAATCATGAAGCATGGTTGGCTGTGGCAAGGCATCTAGTTTACGCGGGTTACGCCCAAAAACGAGGCTCACACGTGAGGCTGTAATGTGTAAGCATCCCAACCCCCATAGATGGAAAAGATGTGGAAAAAATCAAGAGTGTGTCCACATTTCACCAGATAAAATAGGCATATCGAAAGCTTGAAATGTCTACTTTTCAACGAACCAATTTGAATCGAAAACCAATAGCCTACTCTGATTTTGTAATCCAAAGGAAAGGTGCATGTTTCTCTATAGGCGACCGCACGTTAACTATATCTTTGCAGCCAACACTGACTCAGAAAACACTAGTTTATTAATAAACAATTAAAAGGTCTCCTTGCTATTTTTTCCTAACACATTCATAACAATTAGGCTACTTTGCAAGCACTTTAGCATAAGGCATATATTCCGCCCCCAAGTGGCCTATATGTGTCGTTGAGTCTGTAAAAAGTCAACTAACTGAAAAAAGGTAGGCAATATGTAATGTAACCTTGTTAAAACGGATTTAATAAAATCGGTATCGGAAAAAAGTATCGTTCAGAGACTGGTATCGAAGTCATGGTATCGGTATCGGAATCGCTGGTGAAATTTTTGAAAGATACCCACCCCTATTCGGGACAGTTCACTCAAATGGGTTCAAAATACAAAAACAGACGGCATTTACTTACGTAATACGTAACAATTTTTTTTTTTTTTTTGCGTTCCATATAAGCAAGAAAGTCATCCCAAATACCAGGAAATAGATAATGTAATGTTATGTGAATAAAGTATAATGTTTAGAGAAAAAGAAAAAATCACTATAATAATAGGAATAGAGCGCCACAGCAGCCTCATCTAAGAGGAAATGGAGGATTTAGTTCAATTATACTTGCATAGGATTCACCAAGAAAGAAATCCTTGGTCTTTTGAGGCATCAGCATGGGTTCTGAGGCATTATCTTTAGTATCCGGAGACATCAGCAGTTATGAAGGAATTTGAATTCATTCAGGAGAAAGAACAAGACAAACATTCAGGAAATTGCCTCTTTTCTGCAAATCTCAAATAACAAGCAGTGGTCGACTGCACTTCACTGTGATGTTTCTTTCCTTATGATTCTCATAATATTTAATACTAGAGCCCAACCGATAAAGGATTATGAAGGCCGATACCGCTACAAATATTTTTGGGTTTTAAAATCCGATATTCCGATATATCGGCCGATATTTATTTTTTTTCAGAAACGCGCAACACAACATTAACAGATTTCCCTAACATTAGTTATTTGTAGTTATTTATGAGTTTTAACTAAAATAATATGCTAATGCATTTTAAAAAGAAACTTGTTTCTTTTATTGTCACAACAGAACAAACTGATGATAGTGGCATTAGCTAGCTTTATGGTTAGCTAGTCTATGATGAGCTATAATTTAGCAATGGATAATGTCATACTGCAAATAGTACATTGTACATTTTCAATATAACAGGCCAAGGAGAGATGATACGTCTCATTGATATAACGGTCACGCGCTATTAAAGAAATACTTCAGTCACATTGTCAAAATTTAAAAGGACAGTCAGTCAACTACACTGTAACAAGGTACCGTAACTATTACTAGCTAATTCTGCTTCACTCTCGGCTTATTTAACAGCAGCAAAACTGGACATGATAGTCATAAATTTTGTCATGCTTATTTGAGTTAAGAGAACTGATGCGGATGTTCTTTTAATTGCTATTCAAGCAGTGTTGTGTGTTGCAACAGGAACGGTGTAGAGTGCCCTCTGGTGGACAAACTACAAAACTCTAACTCTCATGACATGGTTCAAGCGTGTTTTGTCCATTTTTATTTTATTTTTGAAATATTCATTTATCGGCCATTATAACTGCCGATACCGATAGTTTGGAAAATGCCTAATATCGGCCGATAATATCGGTCTGCCGATATATCGGTCTGGCTCTATTTAATACTCATAATACTATAACATCGTTGTCATAATTTTAACTTCTAAGTTAGACGTGCAAGAAGCTGAGCTCGCCAGATTGTTTTAAAGGTTTAAAGAGGGGGCAACATTTTATTTTGTGTCACCGTCCTAGGTCGAGTTACACTACTCGTGTAACTGTATTTAAATAGGGAAAACGTGGAGGTGTTTGGTCGCCTCTCTGCTTGGCCCATATTGAATGAACTCGGCGATCAAAGTGTCTCGCGCGCCAGAGCGATTGAGACGACAGAGGTATGCATCAACTCTTTTTAGTTAACGGAATAACATAGTTTAATATGAAAAAACGGTGGATCTAAAAATGCTACTGCTTAATCTAAAACCTTTATTCTCAAAACTATACATTTAATCTAGTAAAAAGTCTATTGTTAAATTATTCTCAAAACTTTATTATTTTTGGATTTTCACATTTATTTGAATGTTGCTCTTCAATGCTATCATATAAAACAACTGGCTTTTATCATGATTTATTTTTAAAATGAATGAAATGTTCACTGCTGATGTGAGAAACTCACCTGTACAATGTCAGTGTTGAACTTTCGGCATACTTCTTCAATTGACATCTTATGCTCTGTCTGAGGAATCACACACAAAAAAAGAGTCTAAAACTGCACAAAGAAAGGATGAATTGCTTTATAGAGTGCAACTGACCACACAGGTTAAATCACAACCTTGCTACATTTGTTTCAAGGCAAAAGTATTATTTGAAAATCAATATAAAATGGTGTACATCCGGTTGCAGGCCCGGTTCTAAAGGGGTGCTAGAGGTTGCTAAGCACCCTCAGTTGATAGTAATAATACATTGGCGGAACAGATTTGGCAAACGCTCCAGTGCACAGTGTTTTTGCGCTCTGGAGAACATCAAATATCTATTTACAATGTGTTTTTGCAGCGGTCAGCAATGTAGCCAATCATAGATGTAGTTGTTGATATCTTGAACACAAAGGTGTTTAAGTTCAGAATCCACTCACTGCTCAAAATGCCAGAGTATTTATTCAGTGCTGAGTTATGCAGGTTTGCAAAACCTTCTCATTAAAGGAGTAGTTCACTTTTAAAAAAATTTTTGCTGATAATTTACTCACCCCCATGTCCAAGATGTCCATGTCTTTCTTCAGTCGAAAAGAAATTGATGAAAACATTCCAGGATTTTTCTCCATATAATGGACTTCAATGGGCACCAAACGGTTCAAAACAGTTCAAAACGGTCCAAAAAACGGTTCAAAATGGTTCAAAATGGTCCAAATGAGAGTTTCAGTGCAGCTTCAATGGGCTTTAAATGACACCAGACGATGAATAAGGGTCTTATCTAGTGAAAGGATCGGTCATTTAAAAAATAAATAAAAAAAGTTTAAGTTTTATAAGCTCAAATGCTCGCCTTCCTCTATACTGCAATGCACGTTCGTGAGACTCCTGTTCAAACTCGTTCATCAAAATTAAAAAAACCTTTTTCAAGTCATTCCGTTCATTTTGTTCATTGAATTGACTAAATGACTCGAAAAAAGTTCATTTTGATGAATGAGTTCGAACAGGAGAGTCACGAACACGCATCACAGAACAAAGCAAGGCGAGCATTTGAGCTTATAAAACTTAAACTTTGTTATTATTTTTTTTAATGAGTGATCGTTTCGCTTGATAAGACCCTTATTCATCGTCTGGAATCGTTTAAAGCCTTTTGAACAGTTTGCAGTTTGCACTGAAACTCTTATTTGGACCTTGAACCGTTTGGTTCCCAATGAAGTCCATTATATGGAGAAAAATCCTGGAATGTTTTCATCAAAAACCTTAATTTCTTTTCGACTGAAGAAAGAAAAACGTGGACATCTTGGATGACATGGGGGTGAGTAAATTATCTGCAAAAGTTTTTTTAAAGTGAACTACTCCTTTAACTAAAAAAGTGTAGACATGGTTTGTTGTGAATATATATGTTTGAAGTTTTTTGCTAAATATTCATATACAGCACATACAAGAATATGATTTTTTTTTAGATATATATATATATATACGTGGATATACGTCTTACCAGTGGCACTTCTTTCTTCAGGTCATCCAGGTCTTTCCCACTCTTCCCCTTCTTGGGGGACTCTTTCTCATCTTTGTCCTGCGTGGTCGCCACGCGGTAGCTGTCCGACCGTCCATACTGCAGGGAAAACATTTACTGTTTAGATCAGCTACATAATTACACCTAGAATAAAGCCAGCTTACACTGGAAGTCAAAGCAATAACTATCCTCTTTATTTCTACCACATAAGCCAGGCTGTTCGAATATGCATAAATATAAAATGCAAACGGAGAATATTACGCAAACCTTAGCTAAATTCCATAAATATACTTTATGTATTTAATCTCACTTTATTAACCAATACCTTTGCTGCTGACTGTCGATGATCCAATTCAACCATATTAAAGGACACTCCACCCATTTGCATTAAAGTAACTACAAAACTCTAACACTCATGACATGGTTCAAGCATGTTTCGTCCGTTTTTATTTTATTTTAGAAATATTCATTTATCGGCCATTTTAACTGCCGATACCGATAGTTTGGAAAATGCCTAATATCGGCCGATAATATCGGTCTACCGATATATCGGTCTGGCTCTAATTGCAATGCACTATGGGGATTGTTGTCTACAATCCACGAGCACTAAAAAAACATTTTCTGCCTTTTATCTGCCAAGAAGGACCCAAATTAGAAATTTATGATACTATTCTACTACATATATGACCCACGGTCAATACATATTCATGTCTCCGCGTGAATATGTATTGGAATTACCCTTTAAGCAAAAATGACTTTTTTTGATAAGTTTGTTCTTCTCGGTTTGTTTAAGGTGCGCCCTCTACTGAACAGGCATGACTTTGAATTTTCTTCAGCCTGAGGCTTATTCATTTCATTTTCAGTGTGAAAGATATGGAAGCTTGTTTCCGCCACAGAATAAAAACAAAAAAGGTATTTTTTTTATCTCGCAGTTCCAACTTTTTTCTCAGAAATGCGTGATATAAATTCGCAATTGCGAGTTATAAAGTCAGATTTGCGAGATATAAACTCAAACGTCTAATAAATAAAGTCACACTTGTTAAGGAAATGTTTACATATTTATCTAAACGCTGCTCTCAGCAGTTGTCGTTAGCGTCAGGATGTTCGCTAACAGGCCCTTTACTGGCTCAAGCGTGGAACAACCCGTCACTCACATGAGATCGACCAATAGCAAAACACAACCATCCAATTGATTTCTGATGGGCAAAAAAAAATCAAGTCCCGCACTACACTTTTTCCTTATTCGGGAATTCATTTCTCTCAGATATACATCATAATAGGAAAGAAAAGACTATCACAATTTCGTTCCTTGCCAGATTTGCATGCACTGCGAGAGACGCACAGTCCATGAACTGAGGAACTGACTCTTTCCATGACTAAAGAGGAGAGGGGAAATGGCAACCAGATCTTGCTTCATCCACAATCCTGATTATCTTTGAAACCGCAAAGCTTAAGCAGGACCCCCATGCGGGATATGGGGTGGTATAAGAGTGGGGACCGTTGAGGGTGTTCTAAATCCACATTAGGGCTTTTCATTGATGTGGCATCCTCTGATTTGTCATGTGTGCTTCTGTGACCTATTTTAGCTTGCATGCAACCAGAGGGCATTATGGTTAAATCCACCATTACAGCACACCAGCTTGCTTAGGTGTTAAAACGCAATGCATAAAATGTATCCATAAATGTTTCTGATGTAAAGGTTGATTGATAATATTATTTTATAAAATTATTAAATATTAAAGGAAAAAATTACTTAAATGTTTAGCTTTGAATAAACACTTTATTACAAGAGCACAAACCAGAAATTACTATTAATAAAATATAAACATTAAATAGTCAAATATTTTGTCTTTTATTTATTTACAGCTTTTATTTGTCATTCGTTGATTATAAGGTGCTATAAAAATGCTATAAATGCACAAAATGCTATAGAAAGTTAATCGAATATCAATACTAAATGACTAAATGTATTAAAATTAATTGTTTATTATAAGGCTTAACTTCAATTAAACTGAAACGTAATGAAAAAAAATAATAATAAAGTAATCCATTTTCTTGATTGTAATTTATATTTTCTTACTATATATACTTACATATATTACAAATACCGAATGATATACAGTACTAACGAGCTACTATTATTTGTCATTTGAAACAATATCATATGATTTCATCATATATTCAGAAACTATATTACAATATTAATAAACACCGAGGGGAAACAAATCATACAATCCGTAAAAAGATCCCTAAAATCATGATAAAACAACTCTTTAACCACTTGTTCCTAATGAAATACAGTATGTTCATCATGTGTGCAACAGACTTGCTCATATTTAAAAAAGGTTAAGGATAAAAAAATAAATCCAAAACATTACAAATTGCAAAAAGGCCCAAATTGTAGCATCCCTGTGGCAGTGTTTTAAAAAGGTTTGACCATCTGTCAAGGATTCCCTCTTTATATCCTCTGGGTGAGATGGCAATGCAGGATTAAGACTGTTTACTACAGTCTGGATTAACCTACTGAACAACTGCAATCCTGCCCCCTCCTTTTCTCCTATTTCAATCACTCATATTCCTTGAGATACATTATATACTATCTGTCTGTTTGTATATATATCTATTCTCTTGGCGCCTTAGTTTCCAGAGTTTGCTGTCTAATGTAGTCTAACCAACTTGATAGCATGGCCTTACTTGGGTACACTGTGTTCTCTCTGTATTCATTCATGACAACATCCTCCATTCGACTGTTTGCAGTTCTCTCTTCATGGTTCATGCACGCCTGCACACGTGCAATCACAGTTACATACTCAGTCATGAGCCTGGGATCAGATGTGTGACACGTGCACATTCATGTCAAAGCCCAATGGCCGGTGTGCCATAGGATGTGTGATCGCCAATGCTTCTGGAGAACTGTAGCTGATCCACTTAAAGTAAATCCATAGGGTATCGTCTCAGGACTGATTAAGATTACGTTCTCTGAGACAAAAGACTGAAACAGAAGAGGTGCCTGGATGAGGACTTAATGTTTGAGACCATCACGTTAATATAAAAGAAATTCTGTCATCATTTATTCACCCACATGTTGTCCAAACTTGTATGTTTTCTTTATTCTGTAGACTACACTGTAACGAAATTATTTTTTGAAGATTACTGGTGTACTTCAAAATTTTATGTTTAATTCAATGTGTTATTTTACTTTTTTTTGCAATTATTTGTGAAATTTACAAAAGAATTGAATCCAAGTGTACAAACAGATGTTCACTTTTACATTCAAATAAAGTTAATGATCCTCTAAGTCTAAAAATGATCCAAAAACCACATACAAATAGTCCATAAAGGCACGCTCATCCATAAAGGATGATAACATAACTATAACAATTAAAATATAGTTAAAAAAAAATATTTCCAAATATAAAAGAATAGAAGAACGATAAGGGCACAGAGAAACAATATTGATGGAAAAACAAATTTTTCCCAGATGATGAACGATAAAACATTGACAGCGAATCAGAATCAATCCTTCTTTAAAGAGCTTTCAGAGCATTTACAAATCTGCGACACGCTACTAAATCACATCGTCCGCTCATGCGAATTCTATGAGTTATCTTTATAGACAAGAATTGGCTTCTAAAGACTTGCATGGTTCGTATGGATCACCTTTATGATGCATTTTGTCATTTTTCGAGCTTGACAGCCATTGGTCCAAATTCACTTTCATTGTGAACATTCTGCCCATCCTTATGTCCTTTTGTGCTTCACACAAGAAAATATTACAGATTTAGAACATACATGGTAAATGAGTAAATTATACATTTAAAGGACAACTCCGGCGCAAAATGAACCTTTGGTCTAATTACACATTGTTACCTAGTCAACGGTTATCTGAGATTTGTTTTCATGATTGCCGAATCTAAATAGTTTTATCTCTAAAAACAGTTTAGCCTATAACGCTAGTATATAGGGCATAGAGTAATGACAAATAAAAATCGCTTGTTATTTACAAGGCTCAAAATAGCCCCACACTAACACGACAGCATAATAAGGGTCACATTCAAACCGAAGCATTGAGAACTTTGTCAGTGTCCATACAGTTTGATAAGAAGATATTTTATACACACAGTCAACTTCGCGAATACAGGAAGAAGCCATCTTTGAAAAATAGTCTCTACCAGTCAATCTACGAACACCGATCCAAGTGCGCTGGTAAGATGGGAATAAGGTGATAAGGTGAGCGCGAATCTTCTCTTCAATATGTACACATAGCCTACTGTTCGCGCTCACCTTATCACCTTATTCACATCTTACCAGCGCACTTGGATCGGCGTTCGTAGATCGACTGGTAGAGACTATATTTTAAAGATGGCTTCTTCCTGTATTCGCGAAGTTGACTGTATGTATAAAATATCTTCTTATTAAACTGTATGGACACTGACAAAGTTCTCAATGCTTCGGTTTGAATGTGACCCTTATTATGCTACCGTGTTAGTGTGGGGCTATTTTGAGCCTTGTTAGTGGTAATAACAAGCGATTTTTATTTGTCATTACTCTATGCCCTATATACTAGCATTATACAAGCGTTATAGGCTAAACTGTTTTTAGAGATAAAACTATTTACATTCGGCAATCATGAAAACAAATCTCAGATAACGGTTGACTATTAGACCAAAGGTTCATTTTGCGCCGGAGTTGTCCTTTAAGAAATTAATTTTCTGGAGAACTAATGTATTATGAGCTAGTGGACATCAAAAAGTAAATCACAAAATGGTAAATGATACACATTGTAATGGTAGCTCTCTCATCTATTTCAGAGGGATTCTCTCTCTATCTAAGTCCTTCATCTAATGGCCTTGAGGATATGGAAACACACAGTGTACTGTACATGCAGTAGTGAATTAACAGCATGTAGTGACACCCTCCATAAACCCTTTAAAGCAACCTTGCTTCTTGATAACTAAGACATCAATGAAACAAACCACATCATGTTGAGGCCAAATAACTAGATGTGAGATCTGTCTAGAGAGTGATGGGTGTTTAATTCCAATGTGAAGATATGTATATATCTCAGCAGTGCAGGAAGTCAGGACCAAAAATGAATCATACTATACATGCATTCACATACAAAATTAGTATTTTAGTGTGCAATGGATTTCTAAAGTGAGGGTGTGAGGGTCTCTGTTTTGTTTGTGAAATATCACTTTTAGTAAGTAAGGGTTTGATAATAAGACAACCTTAAGTGTTGAAAATACTGGTTTAAATCTCATGTGTAACTAATCATAACTGCAAAAATTGAGAATTGAACCTGTTTTCATGGACATTATGATTTTTGAATTGTGAAATAATTTTTTTAGAATAAAATAATTATTCTAAATCGATTTTTATACATCAATAAGGTCATGTGAATAATTTACTGAAAAATGACTAATGGGAATTTATGAAAATTATTTATAATAATAATAAATGTAGTGAAACTAATCACAATGCAAAAAATTATCCTAAAATAAAATTTAGATTTGATGTCATTTGATTTGTAGGGTCAAATTAGACATGGTTTCTATATGCTGTTAAAAAGACATAATTCACGAATTCACAAATCTTATTTTGAATATAAAAAGTGTGAAATTCTATAAATAAACCTTGATATAAACTTAAAGAGGGAAAACATTACATGTGTGTTAGCCAAATTCTGTATAATAATACAGACTGTTTGTTGATGCAATCATGGGTGGTCACTGTGATCTAATAAAAACGATAAACTAATATAAACTATCTAAATGTTCAGGGATGTACAGGAAAGCAACCTTGACGTGGAACAAACTGATTAAAACCTGCTATTGACATTTGAGGGCCAATCAAATGAGTTTGCTGGCTGACCTTGAAGGCCTCCCAGGATATGACATCATGTTGGTGTCTAGCAAATTGACTGATAGCGTGTCTGCTAGCTTTGCTTCATATGACCCCGGGCTTTGACACAAAATAAGGCTTGATCGCACACTTTAGTGGAAAAGTGCACACATACATATCCAAAATCACTCAATGAGAATGAGCTATTGAACGGCGTCCATTACACAACCATGTGTTGTAAGACATTTCACCACCAGTCTCTTTCTCACTCACTATCAATCACACAACATGTGAATCACTTTGAGGTTAAACAGATATATTGTCACCACCTTAACCTCAACAATATATTGGTATATTATCAAAACAAAATGGTGGCAGACCCCATAGTGGGATTCTAGGAAACTAAGACCAAAAGAAACAGCTCAAACATAAGTGGAAATGTAAATGCTCCAACTGAGTTTATAAAACTGACTTCACACTAGCAGATGACTTTCTCGCTACTAACAACCTGATCACCAGCAGTCCCCTTGAAGCCTTCAGACAGACTTGCGTCTTTGGATGCATATCTCAAGGGCATCGCAGTCCCCCTCCGAGAAACATTCACGGCATACTAATTTCCGACAACCCCAAGCACCTGAGCCTCCTACAACTGCTTCAATGCTGTTCTCAAGGAGACACCAGGCAACACCCTGCCCCATCGTTCACCTTTGCTGCCCTGCACACCTTATTCCCTTATGTATAAGCCCATCCTTAGTACCATTCCAAAACTCAAAACCGGCTATATGGAATATTATCATACAGCTTACATTGTATGCTGCCTACTTTTTCTCACTGTAAAAAAGAAGAGAAAAGAATATATTTAATTTTATTAAATACAATCAACTTTGATGTTTCAGTCATTTCAACTTAAATGACAATAAACTAAAAAACAATCGTGATTTTAACGGTAAAAGACGGTAAAAATGCTACATTGCAAAAGTGTTAATTGGTTAACAGAAAGTTTCCGTACTATATACGGTAAATAACTGTGATAGATCGCATGGTAAATTTAATGTCATTTTACTGTAAAATACCGTTAGATTTACAGTTTTTGAAATTGAAAAAGAACAACTTTTTGTATAATTTACAGGAAAAAACGTAAATTGACATTCCCACAATTCCCTGCGTGACACTTCGCATTTTATGTATTTTTGTTCAAATAAATATGGTTCCTCATAGTTATCTTGTTTCAGTTATGTACATTAGTGTTTTATGTTAATGTTGTTAAATTAATGTTTATTGCATTTTTTGTGTTACCATGATGGTGTTTAATGTGTGTTATATAAGTATAAACTTTCTTGTGGAAGACGACTTTTTATGAGCTTTGATTGATCATGTGACTCTCATCTCTGCTGTGATTGGTGGTTGTCAGTGTATTACAATGGTACAAAACAGATAGCAATACTTCAATAGGACGGTAAATTAACATTGTATCAGATAGTGAAATACGGTTTATTACTGTAAATTTTAAATTAAGTCTGTAAAACCAATAACGTTGCTACTGTATTTTTGACGGTAAAGTTCTGGCAACCAAAGCTGCCTTTTTTTTACCGTAAAAATTACAGTTTTTTTTTTACAGTGTAAAAAAATAGATGAATCTTGTATAACTTAAAAAAAATTAAATCTTTTTTTAAAGGTTACACAAGATTCATCTTTTTTATCATCTATTTTTTTAATAAAATAAGCTTATTTTGATGAGTTAAAGCAACGCAAGAGTACAATTTTACAGAGTATGTGAAACAGAACCCATTATGCAAATCCATTGCGTGATAATTTCAGGGAGTAATCTTAAACACATTTATCATCTCTAAAATAAAAGGTTTACATTTTAAATTGTAAAAATGCATATATTTAAAAATGCATTACATTAACTTTCAAATATTGTTTGAAAATATATTCTAAAAAAAGGTTCTTTATTTACATGGAAGGTTCCATTTAGAACTTTAAACATCCATGGAGCCTTTCCATTCCACAAAAGATTTTTTACAGTGAAAAAGGTTCTTCAAATTATTTAAAATGTTCTTCACTCTTAAGAAAAAAAAAGTTATTTTAAGAACTGTTTACTGAAATTTTTTTTGGGATAGTAGGCTTAGAAAAGCACTGCATTGTGGGATACATGTTGTGCTATGCCTGAAATCACACTTTTTTCCCATCTAGTCCTAGTGAATATCATTAGTGCTGTAGGAACAGAAAGGAGTGAATCATTAATAGGCAAATAAGTCACTACCTCTCTCAAGGTGACCAGGTAACAACCTGCTACAACCCCATCATTCACTTTCTATGCTCTATTCTCCATCCCCCTCTCAAACTCCAACCCCTCATTTCGCCAATCACGCATCCTCTACCTATTGATTGATTGGCTCAAGACCAATCAATCACCGACTAATGTGAATATGACCCGCCCTCTCGTCATCGCAGCCCCGCTGGCGCTACACGGACCAATCGCTGAGCGTGTTCGGGAATTTCCACTCTCATTGATCAGCCTCCACTTTGACGCAGACACCGTGACCGACCGTCGAGCCCGGTTATCCCTACAGGCATCACGACCGATATCAGCATGAAAAAAACGACACAGAAACCGAGATGCAAAACATCCCGTGCCGTGAAAAGGTATCCTTTGAAGGGGACACATTCTTCCAATAGGGTACAGAATCTCCATTGAATTTCTCAGCTGATTTGTTTCTCTTATTAAGAATTCCCAGTTCAGCTTATTGCAAGGTCACAATATAACAAGCTAGTTCGATGTGTTCACGTTTCTCTCGTGGGTAAGTCCAGATGCAGTCATCCCAAATCCACACGCTACGCTACGCTCCCTCCAGACCCCCACCCATCGGGGGTTAACGCCTTTTATTTAGGAGACTTGCAGAATTTCTCATCGGACTTTACAGACAAAACAATAATTGTCCACCTGGATAATTTAAGATGTCGCTTTCCTAGCTAGTTAGCCTACAGTTAATCGTCATTGAAAGGAAATAGTCAATCGGTGCATTTCAAAAATGTAGGCTACAATGTTATCCGAGTTCACAATTGAGGACTGAAATGATCTCTCAATAGCAATTTACGCTTTTGTTGTCATTTTAAAAACATAATACCAATAAAAAAATCGTAATCCCAAATCGCTAGCCGAAAATGGTCTTTAACGGTAGTCAACGGTAGGCTCACTCCTGACGCGCGTTCACGTTTGACTGAACGAACAGACGCGCAAACAGAAACCTTCATAATTTGTAAACCTAATTTTTCATATTGTATAGCTGAATGTGTGTTGTGATGTGCGTCTTACCATCGTGTAGGCTATTTGCAACATATTAGCCTAGTTATCACAGTTCATTTTGATATTTGATGTCATTTTTGCGTTTACCTCAGTGCACCTTTTATGCATCAAATCAGACGAGTAGAGCCTGGCTATTTCCAATTTTAGAGCTCTATGCCAACGCCTTGAACATTATGTATATGACATGTCAATTTAAATTCACCAATATATGGTTCATGTGTTCCCTTTAACCACCCTACATCATGGCAATCTGACTTAAAGCATCCGATTTGACGCAAATTACAAATGATCGTTCAACGTTTTCACAATGTCAATGATGTTATACCTGCAGTCTCACATAATAGCCTAACCGATTAATGCTTGCTTATCATTTACAGTATTGTCATTAGTAAGCAATATAGGCTACGTTAATTGAGAAATAGGACATGCACCTGTTAAATGCAACGATTTGACATAGGCTAAATTACATACAGACATGATGCCATTCAAATATCATAACCCCGAAATATTCTGAGGGTGTCATAAAGAATGTGCAAGGATTTCAAATAGATTCTTACCCCCATTTTGGAGCCGTCAGTCGCGGTCTCTTCCGTCTATCAACCGAGCTTGGTTTCAGGCAAGCGGGAGAGAAGGAAAAAAATGAAGCTCTTGAACGGATAACGACGGGCAGCGTTCGGACGACCCTCTGTCTATAAATTAAATCTAGACATACACAAGGTTACCATGCATAATAATGAATTAGCTAGGGGCTCTACATGTACAAATCTGCAAGAATGGGGCAAGCTGCATTGGTTTTAAAAGCACATGTGGTTGATATAATGATGGAATAGCATATGCAGCGCTGAGGATTATGAAGCTTCTCTGGCTGAAAGATGCCAGTGAGATGAAGAAGAGCCGACGCGCTGTCTGCCTCTCTGTGTCCTTCCGCCTACTGCTCCATGCCGCGGCACACACTTCCTATCCCTCCGCGTGTGACAGTAGCGCCGTAAACGCAAGTAATGTAATGTTATGAAAATGAGATCATGTTCCAGGAGAATCCGGTTAAATTAAGATAATATTACAAGTATACAGAGAAAAAAAACGTTATGGATAATTTGTCAACCACTGGACAGGCTATAATGGACTATTGTATGATGTTCTGAGGTAGCATGCGATGGGATTGAAACACCATGGTTGAAAAATATGGTAATCATTCAGGTAGGGTGAATTGCCCTAATGTAAAATAATTTGGTATAATTACTACTAAAAATAGGCTAAATGTGTTTCTGTTTCCTCTTTACCAAAACAGCATAATGGATAAACCCCTTCTTTAAACTTACTGATAATTACATGGATAATATCTATGAATTATTTTAAAGTGAGTTTCTTTGACTTATTAGGAATTACATATTTATTAATATCTGACCAGATTCTGAAAAAAGGTAATGAAAATCCTGTTTCCATTTCATCAATGCTTTAGGTGAAACATGTTTTTTCTTTAGTTAAGATGTCTAATTTAAACATTATTCATATTTTTATTAAAATATCATTTAAAAATGTTTAAAACATGCCCCACCAAACATTTTTGACTTGAAGTACTGTCCCACATTAGGCTGATTATACTATCCTGGATTTGGAAACCACATTTCCTAATGTGGGACACTAGGAAATTTGATACAAATATAAAATATATAGTTTATACACATACAGTTACAGTATTTTTTGATGGACAAACATTTCATAAGCATATTAGGTTTAAAAAGTACCAGGATTGCTTTGCCTTTTTAAAATCTATTTAATTACTTAACATCAAATTTGTTAAAACTCTATGTCATTAAACTTTGTGTGGTCTTTCTACAAGGTGTCTCCTGTTTGATGATTGCTCACCCTCAAATATGATTGGACATTTGATAGGTCATGGATCTAACCCATAGTGTCACTGTCTTTCGTGTATTTATGGGGGACCTACAAACACTAGACCATAGGTGTCCCACATTAGGCAGTGTCCCACATTAGGGCAATTCACCCTATATCAAAACACCAGGCCAGGAAACTTTACTCTTAATGGACAAAACTGGACCTGGAACCTGGAAACATAAACAAAACACATCCTAAATGTCCCCAAAAGCAATCTTTCCCAATCATAGTCATTATTTATATCTGAAATGTTGGCATACAATGATCTTATCAATGATATCAATCTTATGACTGCAATTAGATTAAAACGATTAAAAATATTACAAAAGTATAATATAATGGATGGTATTCTGGTCTAAATGCACCCCATACAGCCAATTTCAGCCAATTTAATCGTGTTATCTGATCCCTGAAATGGACAGAATCTCATAGGGCAAACCGAGATATAATGGTCGATCAGGTATTTTTAAATGCAGCGAGAAAAAGATATAATGAGCTGAAGAGAGAATGAGTCAGCCATCTAATCAGACGAGTCTGGATCAAGAGAGAAAAATAAACATAAAAGAGATGTACTGTATAGAATAAAACAGATGAAACAAGCTCAGCAGGACAGGAGACAAGCGCTTCACCAGATGCTAATAATAGATTAATGAGGCCTAAAACACTATATAATATGTAATAGGTAAACATGTACTGTCATGTTTTGGGGTAAGAATGGTCCGAGGACTCAAATGCAGAGTTTCAATGGGCTTTTATATATGTAATTAAAAATATAACAATAACTACTCCGTAGGGGAAAACACTAGGCAAGGCAAGTCTAGACAAAAACAATAGGACATGAGGGATACATTTGACAAAGTACTGGCACAGGCCTGTGAGCACAGGGAAAAGAAGTAGGAGAAGAAATTAGGAGGGTATGAAGGGAGAGCAGATAGGGAAAATAAACCAATAATCAGGTAACAAGGGCGTGGTTAAAGGGTTAGTTCACCCAAAAATGAAAATTAAGTCATTAATTACTTACCCCCATGCTGTACCAACCCTTGTCTGTGTGTTCGGGACACAAATGAAGATATTTTTGATTAAATTTAAGAGGTGGATCACTGCTACATATAGGCTCCTAAGGGATCGGAACTTGACGCCCAAGAAAGTCAATGAAGAAAATGTTTAAATATTCCATGTGGCTCAACAATAAGTTTATCAAGCGACGAGAATACTTTTTGTGCAAAAAAGAGCCCGAACGAACTGGAAACCAATACACTCAACCTAAGAGACAGAACCTTGACATGTGTACAGTTAATACATTTGGTTGAACTTTTACCTTCACTACTTGGTGCTTAGATGAACATTACTAGATTTTTACATTTTCTTCAGAAAACAGTGATGGTCAGTCTGTATTTACATAAGATACTGTGCAATCCATACAACTTTCCAACGGTGTTGTCAAAGCCACTCGGGAACACACAAACAGTGCTGCGATCAATAAATCATTTCCAGTTGTTTTTTGCACTGTCTGTTTATGTCCCATTGAGTCTGGCCAACAAATTAGCTGACGACATCCAAGCCACACATACTTAACCTCTTTTTCATTTCATCCTCCGTCAGGTCCCCATGTAAAGCTGCAGTAACTTAATCAAGCTAAGATATTGAGAAAATGATATGTGTAGGTGCATTGAAGGACATATTTAATTAACCTCTCTAAGCTAAAACTTAATACTTCTGAATTCTGAACTGCTATAGAAGTTTCAGGTAATGTGTCTAATCATTCAACTTAGCATGAAAGTGCAGTTAAAAACAGTCTCTATGTTCATATTTCTTTGATTTAAGTGCACTCATTATATTCCCTATTAAGACTATTGGCAATTTTTTCTCTTTCGCCGTTATAAATCCTGCAGTTAGTGTTACATTATATATCTTTATGTCATAGAATGCTTTATGAGGTGAATTTAATGGTCAGTTCTGAGAAAAAGTTCAGTTAGAGCTTAGGACGTCTTTAATATATGAGTATAATATGAGTCATTGCTCTATTTTCGTCTTTATGCAAGTTCTATGCAAGAAACAGTTTGTAGGCAAACTTTATAGTTTGGAGGCTTATTTTAGTGTTTTTAAAACGTCAAATTCAGGTTCATTTGCAGCATGGATAAACGTGATTTGTGCTGTTCAATATCTGTTTTGTGTGGTGAGCACATGAAACCATCGTCAGATCTTTATACAGCAAAAAGCAGTTCCCTGAATAACTTATAAAGCTTTCTGAAGATTTCAATGGTGGCTACAGAAAAATTGGAGCTTAAGCTAAGTGCAAAATGGAGCCAGTGCATGCTAGAACATAAAAAAATCTGTTTCGCCAGTGCAGTATAAGGCAAACTTTTTGAAATATTTATTGAAGTTGAGTACACAACAGAGTAATCCAAGCACTTTTAGTTTTACAGTGGTCCGCCAAACCACAAACTACATTAGGAGTCTGGGCTGTTTATAGACTTGCAGAAACTAGATTTTTGATAACAACAAATGTTGGTCAATCTTTAGATTTGTGCTAGGTTTACTCTCATTCTCGAGCAAGAAAGGTAAGGGTTGGAATGATTTGGAAGTGTTCAAGATTTGCCACAAATCATGCCATGCTGACAAATCATTTTGCATGGGTGTCTTAAATACACTGTAAAAAAAAAGTCCTTAAAAATACGACACAATGTAAAAATACCAAGGAATTTTCCGTCTTGCTTTTTTACAGGTGTTTTACCTGTATTTTTTATTACACATTGTATTAGGTTGTGTTTTAAAGGTTAAAGGGTTAGTTCACACAAAAATGAAAATTAAGTCATTAATTACTCACCCCCATGCAATACCAACCCCGTAAGACCTTCGTTCATCTTCAGAACACAAATGAAGATATTTTTTATTAAATTTGAAAGCTGGATCACTGCTAGGCTGCAAAGGGATCGAAACTTGACGGCCCAGAAAGTCAATGAAGAAAATGTTTAAATATTCTATGTGACGATACTTTTTGTACGAAAAAACAAACAAAAATAACAACTTTATTCGACTATTCCTTTTCTTACTTGTAGGCCTGAGACAAGAGTTCAAGAGATTTCTACGACGCATGCGCATACGTCGTGGAAATCTCGTCTCAGGCCTACAAGGAAGAAAAGTAATAGTCGAATAAAGTCGTTATTTTTGTTGTTTTTTTTGCACAAAAAGTATTCTCGTCGCTTGATAAACTTATACTTGAGCCACATGGAATATTTAAACATTTTCTTCAATGACTTTCTGGGCCATCAAGTTTCAATCCCTTAGGAGCCTATGTAGCAGTGATGCACCTCTCAAATTTAATCAAAAATATCTTCATTTGTGTTCTGAAGACGAACGAAGGTCTTACGGGGTTGGTATTGCATGGGGGTGAGTAATTAATGACTTAATTTTCATTTTTGTGTGAACTAACCCTTTAACGGAAATTTCCATAAAATTACTGGACAATGTCGTGTAGAATGAAATTGCCTAGCAGCCTATGAAGGAGTGATCCAGCTCTCAGATTTAATCAAAAAATATCTTAATTTGTGTTCTGAACATTAATGAAAGTCTTACGGGGTTGGAACAATATGAGGGTGAGTAATTACTAACAGAATTTTCATTTTTGGTTGAACTAACCCTTTAATATCCCTACCTCTTCTTTCACTCACTCAAACCCTGACATTTCTATGTACAGTACCTCTAAACATCTCCCTCATACAAACCATTTTTGTATTTTTAAGTTTTCATTAAAACATTCATTAAAACCACTGACTGGTCCACACAACAGATGAATATCCTATTCTTGTGAGTACCACTGCAGTCAGAAGCCACCCACACACACCTGCAGTTACATAAACACAGAGTGAGTTTGAATGTGTGTGTATGACCAGTTAAATCTGCATTTGACCAAAACACCTTACAGCCAATTATGTCTGAACAATTACCACCATTCATATTAATATGACTCATTAAGCTTTCATGTACGTTTAGGCATCTATAGAGAGCGCTTCCCCTGCTAAAATGAATGCTGGAACTAGTGGAAGATGTGCAAGATGTTCACACTTCCTCTGAAATGAACATGATTTGGTTGCTAATGCCTTTCGTTCTCTCTCTCTCTCTTACTCTCGTTTTTCTGGAGCGCCTAATCTGCCTTCAAGCTAGTTTTTTTTGTTACCCTCCTCTTCTCTTTCTTGCTATAAGCACCTCTTGTCATTTCTCCCTCCTCCCCCTCACACATTTTGTATACGCTTCCTGAACACCAACTGAAATGAATTAACAGAGATTATTAGCATGTTCTCATTTCTCAAATTAACAAATGATGCACACAAGAGGACTATAGTACAGTCTACTCAGACAAATCACGGAGGAGGATGGTGCTGTTTTGCATAACAGATGCAGAGGAAAATGTCACCGGAACAGCATTTTCTTTTTGTAAGGTTGAACCGAACATCTAGCCACATGTTGACAGAGGACATAAAATGTCAAAATATTCAGTAATCACACATGAGGTCCTAATATTCATGAAATGCATTAAAAAGCAAAGCGAATGCAATTGAATTTCTGTCCAGCTATAGTATATTGAATCTGAATGTTGAGTTTGTACACAAAGGTGTTTGTGTGTGACAATAGCCACCCTCCTCCATTATTCAATGGGTTTGCTGAGCTTATGTTTCTAACAACATGCAAGCTTTGGTTTCTCTATAAAAACCAGTGATTCTATGCAAAAATCGTATTTGAACCCATTAAACTAGAGCTTAAGCAAAGCAAACCTGCTTTTTGTTTACATCATTGATGTCACCTAAAAGCTAATCGCTTTTTCCTCTTTAATTTTCCTCTAGTCTTTTTCTTCTACTGTACATCTGCAAAGTGATGAGATCAGGTCATAGTAATGCTCAAGGCAAAACTAGCCTCCTCGTGATCATAGTGTAGTCTGCTCGTGAATGCAAAATCCTTATAACCTTGTCCTGTCCTATACGGTTTCAGATATCCTGGAATCTCCTGCAGTTTTGCTGCATTGTGATAAACATTATGCAGTTGTTAAAGAAGAAACACGGAGCATCTTATTTGAATCCTTTCTGAATATTCTGAATTTAAGCTTCACCAAAAAAGCTAAATATTTGTTCCGTGAAGGACTATGAGGCTGCCATTTTAAATGCTCCTGTCTCTTTAAGCTCCAGTCGGCGAGTCAGCCAAACAGAGAGGGGATGCTGTGAATGTCCTTGCCGGCGACCTTGATGAAGAGGGAACAGAATGACTGAAAACAATTGTTTATGATAAATGGGTTTCCGCAGAGAGGAAGAGGAAGAGATGAAGAGCAGAGAGAGAGAGATTGACGGTGGCATGTTGATCGGGAAACACACCAATCCGCTCGGCTTCCCTGTCCTCTCCCCTCCACATCCCTCCATCTCACCTCCTCCCCCTCGCGCTCACACATTTCATGAGCGTAAATGTTTCATAATCTCTGCATTTGTAGTCAAGAGCTTGAGGCTGGAAAAGAAAAAGCACACATTAATGATCGAGTGATGCTCGCTCACTTCTCTCTCTCTCTTTTTATCTCTCTTCCTCTCTCTCTTCCTTGTTTTACACATGGATGGGTTTGACAGGTGGTCATCCGGAGCAATGCCTTATTATTACTGGCAGGTTGAGGTAGGACAAACACACAGGGGATAGCCTACATTATGTGCCACCTTATTAGCAGGAAATGCATTTAGTGGAAACTTTTTTTCATAAAAAGTTGTGCTTGCTTATTCTTAGGGCAAAAACATAATTCATGCAAGAATGCAAACGAGCGATAGAGATACCTTCAAATGACTTTAAACCAAGTAGGTCACTTAAAAAAAAAACTTTTGCTGATAATTGCACCACCATGTCATCCAAGATGTCTATGTCTTTCTTTCTTCAGTCGAAAAGAAATTAAGGTTTTTGATGAAAACATTCCAGGATTTTCTCCATATAATGGACTTCATTGGGAACCAAACTGTTCAAGGTCCAAATGAGAGATTCAGTGCAGCTTCAATGGGCTTTAAACGACACCAGACGATGAATAAGGGTCTTATCAAGCGAAACGATCGGTCATTTCAAAAATAAATAAAGTTTAAGTTTTATAAGCACAAATGCTCGCCTTGCTCTGTTCTGTGATGAGCGTTCGTGACTGTCCTGTTCAAACTTGTCAACATGTGGCTAGATGTGCAGTTCAACCTTACAAAAAAAATTCATTTAGAGTTTTGAATTGATCTGACCAATTTAAAATGCACTGCTCTGTGTACAAAACTGAGCAAGCGTTGCCAGAAACATTTGAGCAACCCCCTGACAGCCAACTTAACATTCTAGCAACACCCTAGCAACCTCATAGCAACACTAATAACTGCAGAGTTGACAACCACTCAGAACACCCTAACATAATGTTATGACTCAGGAATTTAGTTTAGTGTTTCCTACCTTTATCGATAGATTCAGTTTTGTTTTTTTTAACAGCCTAAGCCTACTACTGTCAGTTACTGAAAAGAAAAATCCATTCCATCCACCGGGAAGAGGCAAGCTACTTGTCTTTTGTCATCGCAGGAGGTCAGTCAATCAGGCTAAATGTGACACAAGCCCAACAAGCAACAGCAGGAAAAGTGAACCTCCCAACATTACACTAATCAACATCTTCCCACAAGACACAAAAGTCTTTAATTACACCCTTACAGTCTTTCACACCCCACTGGGCGCTCAGTTTAAAAAAAAATCCTATCTAAAATGTTTCCATGCCAGTAATCACACAAACCAAGAAAACAACATTCGGTTTCATCAGGCAGAGATTATATGGCTGCACCATAAAGAAGAAAGAGATCAGCTTGCACATGGTTTGCAACTTTGTATATTTCAATGGCATGGTTTTTTTTGGGTTTCAAATCCACAAATAAAGAATACTTTTTTTAAAGATATATGAAATGGAAAATCAAATTGGAGCCATGGCAAATGGTTAATGTCTGACATATCTGACCCATTTTCTCCCCATCATTTCACTATGGTAATTAAGACAAAATATAGCCAAATAAAAAGACCAATGAACTGTTGTCCATGGACTCTTTTCCAAACTTAATGGGATTTGAACAAACGGTCCCATTTTATAGTACTGAGTTACATTGAAAAATAAGTACAATGTACAAAGTACTTATTGTGCTCATGTTGTATTGTAAAACACTTTTGCTGCTATTGAGGTGTGATACGGGTAAGGTTAGGGACAGGTGTGGTGTTATGGGTAGGTTTAAGGGTGGGTTTAAATGTAAGGGATGGGTCAGCTGTGTAATTACAGATGTAATTACATAAATTAGTTACAGCTGTAATTACATGCTGGTATTTTTAAAATATAAGTACAATGTAAAAACATGTATGTAAACAATAAGTCCATTGTATCAAATTATTCGTTTCAATGTGAGTACATAGTACTTAAAGCCACTTAATATATAGTGGGACCGAACAAACTTCTATTTTATCTTTTTTTGCCCTCTATTGCACCTTGCCTTATTGGCACCCCTCCTCTATTTTTCTTCTCAATCCCATCTTCAGCGTTATGAATGAAACTTGCAGAGGGAAGATGCATGATTTGTGTGTGTGTAAAGAAAAGACTAGATCAGAGTGTGTGCATGTGTAATGGGGGGAGGGATGGGTGGGGGGCAGGGGGTGTCGTGAGAGATGGTTTAATTTTAGCAAACACGAAGTTCCCCCACCACTTATCCATCAGATCTATAAATAACCACATACCTCACTGGCTCACTCGATCACGTCCACTCCCACGCGTATACGAGTCCAGGAGTAACAGAATACAGCAAGGGATGGATGGAGGGGGAGGGGAGGAGGTTGCTAGGAGACCACTGGGAAGGCAGGTCATGTGACTGGAGATGGCTGGCAATGCAGTCTCATGACAAAAAAAACAATGACACACACCTTCATCACCTACTGTTTTAAATTTTGTAACTTTAAAATGTTCATAAAATTGTCTTTCACCTTTGAAAAGCCCTCTGTTTCACATGCTCAATGCAGGGATGATGATGATGAAGCGGCTCGAACGATTGGGTCACTTTGCGCCACCTCAAAATGATACAGGTGCACACTAACAGGGATGACAATAGAAATTTTCAGCTTACATCACATCATTGATGCACAGTGTGAAAGGTGAACACACTAAACACATACACACATTCATTAGTGCTAATACACTATTAATTTAGCTTTACATCAAAGTAATTGAAAAAGGATATTGAGCAACACAGTGCATGATTAAACCACTGTTGATTAAATGACTGTACTGTTTATAGATGTGTAAACAATCAAAAGCTGCTTGTCTGTTTTTAAGGTGATTACGCAACTGATGATGACTTCAAGTTTTTGAGACCATGATGTAATACTGTATGCGAGTTAAATTACAGTATGTCTGTTCCATCATCATGCCAGAGGCATCTACAAATGCCAATTTTGTGCATCCTCTTCTGTGAATGATAAAGGTTTGACTTGCAGGTCTTGCTATTTTAGTGATAAATGCATTGCATGATTTCATATTTCTTAGTATGGTTATTGTATTTGTAACAGCCATTATGAGGAAATGTACAGGTACACTGAAAATTCAATATGTAACTTTTGGCCCTGGTCTAGTCTGAAAAGACAACATTGTAACCGTTGAGCTATGCTTCCCTCACATGTTGCAACTCGGAACCCACCACCACCTCCATGGAGTCAGAAGCTTCTGAGGTTCCACTCATTACTTCTGGCCTGTTCAATCCGAGGCTGACAAATGGTAAATGGACTGCATTTATATAGCACTTTCATTGACCTAATGGCCACCAAAGCGCTTTGCATATTGCCTTACATTCACCCATTCACACACACATTCATACACCGATGGCGGTGTCAGCCATGCAAGGCGCCATCCAGCTCGTCGGGAGCAGTTGGGTTTGGTGTCTTGCTCACGGACACCTCGACACTTGGTCAGGTGGAATCGGGGATTGAACCACCAACCTTTCGGTTTGTGGACAACCTAAATGAACCACTGAGCCACTGCCGCCACCCAACAAGCCTTGCGACAGCCTATGGCCCAGGGAGATTGGAGACTCCGTCCCAAGGTAGTCCACCTAGTTGGGACCACTTCAGGGCCGCACAGTTACAACTGTTGCCCCTCCGGACTTGTCTCTCAGCCAGTTGTTTTTTCTCCTGTCTGAGTGGACATCCCTTAACACAGAAAGACTCTAGCCACAGCTGGCCCCGGGGCCCCCGCAGAAATGCTTTCCCCAGTGAGCCTTCTTGCACAAAACTGTGCTAGTTGCCCCTTATTGCCCCAACCAGACCGCTCTCCTCTCGAGAGCCCTTCCTGACTCCTTCCTCTGAGGATGGGGCATGATGGCACCAACGTTCAGACCCCGGAGAGCTCCAGATCTGGTGCTAAAAAGAACGGGACACTCTGACGGAAGGCTTTGGTTACTACCGCAAGAATTTTTATGCCGTAGAAACCATCACTTCTGTGAGAGCACCCTGTAAAAATGAGGCATGCTCCCCCTTAGAAGTGGAACCCATTCGTTGAGTCTTCTCTCCGTGAGGAGATGTAGAAGGTGTTCGATCACTTCAGTGATTTCGTCCTGCAAAATGGGTAGGAGTGAGGCTGTCTCTTCCACCCTCGAAATGTATGTTGCCTCTGTATTGACGCCTATCATCATGCAGTTGGGTGCAAATCCTTGGGAAGCATGATTTGATCGCCATTCCCCTCCTATGGACTGCGCAATTTTGGTCCAGTAGAGTTACCCTTGTTAGCTGAGTATTCGAAACCAGGCCTATCACTCGTATGGCCTGGTGGAACCTGTGTTAGGCTGGGTCTACGGCAATCCTATATGTGTATTCTTCCATGGTACGGCTCCCTGCGGCAAGACCGCCGCAGGGAGGCTTTGCATTCCCTCAGCAAAGCCTGCTCTGTCGTCACTGTCCGGTTAAGTCTCCTCCTGTCTAAGGCTGGAGCTACCCCAGTGACATTCCATATGTTGTACTGACCGGTCAACCGCCCAGTCCATATGTGTATTCTCCACGTTACCTCCCTTCGGGGAGGACGTGGCTTCCGCAGCATCCCTTCCTTCCATTGATAGGGTACGCTTTCCCATTGGTCCTGTGGAACAGCAGTGACTTCCCTGGCCAAAGCCATGTCCTATCTCTGCCTCAAGTTGCGGATGATCAGGAGGCTTTTGTCATTACTAGTGGAGTTTTCAATGGTGATCCCATTAGGTCGACGGCAACTACATTGAACGTGAACAACTGAAAGGAAAACGTCTCGGTTGCGTATGCAACCCTCATTCCCTGAAGGAGGGAACGGAGAAGTAGCCCTTCGCTGTGGACTACCACTGACTCAGAGTTACGCTCAAGTCCTTAGCGAAAAAGCAACTAGTGCGTGTATCCACTTCGTTTTTTTTACCGGGGCGGAATGTGTGATGCAAATCACATACTCCAGTTCCATTGGCTCGTTACAATAGTACTTGAACATGACTGGCTCCCTAGCGTGATCCCATTAAGTCGACGTTGACTATTTCTTCTCCTTCAGGGAACGAGTGTTGCATACGCAACCGAGACGTTCAATAAAATACCTCACTCACCTGTTGAGGAATGTCACCAGCATGACTGACATCTGAAGCACGTGCATGTCTGAATGTGACAATCTCATTGGCCCAGACAGTACATGACGTCACTACTGGTGCGACCGGGAGCATAAAAGGGTTCCCGTAGTACATGTCATCAACTTCTTTGTCTGAAGGAGATGTGGGCAGGCATACCTGAAGCATGGAAGTCTCACTCCCTTTCACAGGGAACCATGGTTACATTTCTACTGGAGACGTTCCCTTTCAAATGTTAACTCGCACTGAGTCTAAATAAGATGCTATGGGGAACAAATACCCACTACCCATGCTGAGGGGAAAATCTGCCATATTAGCTGCATCAAAGCACTACCACAATGGAAAGAAACATGATGAATCAATGGACTTAACTGCCGAGGTCAAAAAGCTTCCCCAACTCAGATGCACCTGATGACTCTCTAAAGTGACAAAACTCTCTAAGGCCAAAACCCAAACTTCAAACCCTAAACAAGGAAAGTTCTTGCCTTTACAGCCGTCCACCCTTCCTTGCAGGGCCAGCCAAAAAGAGCCTGGCCCAAGGACAGCACTCAAAGGTCTGGCAGTGTCTGTTTCTGTTACACTAGACACAGCATTTGAGGGAATATGGCCCAGGAACACCCAAGGTGAGCCAGCTACTCCCAAATTCAGTGGAGGAGCACTCGCCCCAGAAGAGTGGAGGTCCCTGCTTAAAGGATAATTCCGGTATTTAACACCTTGACTCTATTTTGTAGAGTGGCACCTTGACAATGACAATGAATTTTGACAATGGGTCCTGTCTCGACTTTTTTAGAATCGCCTGTGAATCGCTGTCTATGGGCATGCACAAACATGTCCTTAAAACAAGCCTTAATGTTCATTTTCAAAACTGTGCAACTCACCGAGTGGTTGGTGGTGTTCGTTGATGATAAAAAAAACAAATATATCGGCGCAATGTGTGCTTTCAATCCGTGTTGTTTGCTATTGTGGAATTATTTATTCAGATACCTCCCAACCACGTATAAACTTCCGCTCGATATTTGAGTCTGAAGCGTTAGCACACTCCCGACCACTTGATGGCGACAACCAGGATGCTGTACGGAACACGGTGTCTAGCGCACCGTAAAAAAAGTCCGGGAGCACAGTTGCTCTGCTCACGCTAGCCTTCTGAGAGACGGAGAACCAAACGAAAAGACTACAACCAAATGTAAACAGACCCCTTTCCTTTTCCGGTAGCTAGCGCAGTAATATCAACGAGCACTGAGTCCTCCAGCAGACATCAATGCGATTTAAAAAAATGACAAATAAAACACGACAGAAACGGTATTTCTCTACGCTACTTGTTTACTTGTTTGTACAAAAAGTCGAGACAGGACCCATTGTCAAAATTTCTAAGTCCACCACTCTATTTCATTCAAAACAAACTAAAATAGACTCAAGGTGTTAAATACCGGAATTATCCTTTAAGGACCCTCACAGAAAGGGAAGGGTTCTGCTCCCAGATCCAACTAAAGACACGCTAAAGGATTACCATACTGAAACACATTTTGGAAAAAATGATTGAATACTGACTCATTATTTAAATTTTATATAAAAAAAATGTAACAAAAAAAGTTACATAGTATACCTTTAATATAATCTCTCAAATCTTAATTTAAATCTCTTGAAATTGAATATAAACCTGGACATTTTTCAGTGAATCTTCTCAATTGTTTTTCAACTGCTTCATTATTCATCCATCCAAGAAGGTTGGATCCGTGGAAAATTTGAAATTGCAGAAAATTACTAAATATATTTTTAGGACTGTAAAATTTCATTGTAAACAGCATTGAAATAAATTTATTGTGAAAAGCGAAATAAAAATAAATTGAATTATATTTTTTCTTCAGGTTTATAACATCTAACAAAAAAGATATGCTTACAAATGCAAACACTTTATTATCTTTTAGACGAGTTTGAGAAAGCGACTATTCTAAGCTAACTTAAATTAGGCTTCCATGCAACACCTTTTTGTATAAATCCAGCACTGTAATCTAAAAGAAAAGAAAATAGGTATTACATTTTTGCATCCAAATTATTCCGAAACACAGGAAGAAGACACAGAGATTAAGTGAAAGAGATATTCAGCAAGGCTTGCTGCTAAATATACCAGATGTAAATGCTCACGTCTCCCTGAGAATTCACCTTGAGTTTGCCAGGCCCACCTCCATTGGAGGAGAATCCAGGACTCATCACGCTCTCATTGGCCATGAGGGGAAAGCCTGTTGCTGGGCTGTTTCCATGGAGATGGCTTATCGAAGGTAGTGCTGGAGCCATCACTGGGGAAATAGATGGGGCAAAGATGGTTAATGAGAAAAAGTTAGGATTGTGTGTGTATGTGTGAAAGAGAGAGACTAAATGGACTGATGTAATGACGCATAAAACATGTGGATTAAGCAAAAGAAACAGGTTGGTCGTGGCTGACAGAGTGTGCGAGTGAATCTATCATGAGGAATGTCATCATCGGATACGATGGATTACTAAAGAACAAGATCAATGCACATTAACATATGGTGTCTGTATGGATGTTAAAGTTTGACGTTTTAAGATGCGGTAAAGCAGATGAAGGACAGAATCCTCCGGAAGACCTGAGGCATTCGGATGACAAAAAAAAAAATCTGATCAATAAGCTGCTTAAGCCAAATCCCTCTCTATTTTAACACTTTTCTTGCATGATGAAACATATTAAAGTGAACGTACCTAAACTGATAATGAGATTTTGATATTTTTTTTTAAAAATTGAATACCACTACACTTCATATCTAATTCATCTGACTAAAGGTTCTGGATGGACTTTTTTATATATTTATATGTTAGTACATCTGCTGGGAATATGATTAAAGTAATCCTAATAAATAAAATAAAAATAAAATGAGAAATTCAGGGAGGTTCTTTTCAAAACAAATACAACTATTTTAGCTTTTTCTTACCTTAAATTCACAAATATGCCACAAAAAAAAAATGATTAGCAGCATATTTTTATATGATTAAATATGGTTTTCTTCAGAAAAAAGTCTATGATGTAACTTCATGACATCTAGTTTCATTGTAATCATGGCATACAATAAGAAACATTACTGATTTGAATTTTACGTTTTAAAGGGAAACACTTAAAAAAAAAAGGTAGCACACTAATAATGAAGGGGAACCAGTGACAAAACAAAGAAGAAGTACAAGAACAAAACAAAGAAGAACATTTCAGGTCACGTGACCTTTCCCTACACATCATGTGACCAAAACGTTTGCTACTTTTTTTATTAAAGCAGTAGATTTATCTTGCAAATGGTGGTTTCCCTCCCTGTAGTGTTAGAGTGTGTTGGCTTTTTTGAAGTGTTTCCCAATTTGAAGTTTTTGCACCTCATTTAGACAATTTATATTAGACCCATTCTCACCAATGCATCCAAAACAAATGTCTTAGTTGCATGAAGTTACCTTGGCCAAAATCAGCATAATTCAATTACAATGTTCAATACATAAAAATTTTAACGTTTTCATTTGCAACCAATAAAGCATGTACTGGGTATTGTAGATTAAACAGATGAGAATAAGAAGATTCTTCTTAGTCATCATGCTGTATCTGTATTTTAGCCATTTCAGGATGCTGGAAGCTCAATGTCAGTAGAGTGTGATTTTTACTAGAAAAAGCCAATACTGTCATTCAGCTGATGTTTGTACAGCCTCTGTTATCCTCATTAGTGTCCACTGACCTTCAAATGTGTTTTCTATATCAATTGTTCAGAGTGATACTGAGGGATTTGCCATATAGACCAACCTCTACTCATGCAGCACTGAAGCACATAATTAGCTGAGATGTGTCAAGCAATATGATTCTGATTCATTATAAATCTAAGGATGACTGTAATCACTTCATTTACAGGGTTTATATGTAGCTTAATGTATAACATTAGGTGGTCTTTGACTAGTTATTACTTTATTACTTTGAGAAAGATTCAAATTATTAATTATTATTAGCCTCAACATCAACTGGACATAAATCCTCAGTTCACTGCAACTATTTAAAAATTATTTTAAAAACATCTAAAATATTTTCTTTTATATTCATTATTCAGTGGCCACTGATGAGGATAACAGAGGCTGTCTTTATGACCTTGTATTAATTTTGAGTATAGACAATTGAGAAACTAAGGGGAATAGCCTAAATGATTGTCACAGTACAGGACCATTAAAATGAAAATTTAATGCGATGAAATGTGGCACAAATGTGATTGAAAATATAATTTCTTGAAAATAAATTGAAAATAGGCATCTATTAGCCTAAATATGCACTGAAATTCCATGAATTCACACATTATGAGATTTGACATACATAAAGGATTAGGAATGTTTTCATTTTTATTTGTTTTTTAACTATTTTATCTCAAAGTCCCTTTAAGTATAAACCACATACTCGTGGTCTAATGAAATTTGAATGCTCAATTCCAACACAAATGACTAGTGCCACAGAAAAAAGATATTAAACAAGCCCAGTGCATGCTTTAATTGAGTTATGAATCCACTGGGGACCATGAAAGAGCCTCAGCTCTGTTTGTATCTCATCCCAATCATTCTAAACATGGAGCTAAATTACATTGATTTTGAATGGACAGAGACAATTCAATTGAAATGAAGCAAAGCCAATACAACTCAAGCAACAAAATACTTTACAATGTTAAGGCAGATGAATTAGTTAGTTCCTGGACAAGGCCTGCGAAATACTAAACATTATCCGAGACTGAAGTGTTGCAGAGATTGAGCTCACCTCACTTCTGTAACGGTTAATGTGAGGAACGGCGCCCTCTGCTGTTTTTGGAGGATAATACACTTTCCTATCTGAAACTCCTTGTTTAGTGGCAAAAAGGATTTAATGTGATTGATGTGATTTTTATTTTATTTTATATTTTAGATGTGTGACAAATAAATCAAATAAAACGATCGTCTAAGTCCCTGTATACAACTAAAGCGCATTAGGCAGTTTATCGGCAAAAGATGTGGCGACATCTTGTGGTCGAATGACGCCATACAAATACCGAAAACTCGGAGCATTAGCAAATGAAACATAGCATAAGTAGGCCCGCGAAATAAAAAATAATAAATTCAGTGAACTGTGACAAGTTTTTTTTGCCGCGTATTTCTCACCTGCTCGATTAACAATTACAGTGTACATAGTAGCCTAGCTAATTACCAGAATCATCAAACGCCAAAATCCCAAGATAACACCATAGTTGTCACCAAAATACCATAACCTGTTAGAAAATCCGATTTAAGCGAGTAGCTGCTTGCTTTGTATGACAGCTGGTTCATAGCAAGTCGCTAGCTGGTGGAGCGTGGAGGCTAGATTAGCTTGCAACAGCAACAAGGTCAGAGGTCATTCAACCCTTAAGTGGTCAAGCAGGTTTTTAGATGGTGGCGGGTCAGTGAGCTAATGATCAGCTTGCACTAGCTAATGACCAGTAAGCTAGTTGTGGACTGTTTTTATTCCTCTGTTCCAACTGTTTGACCATCAGTCATTGGTGCTGTGTTGAATTTGTATGTTCTGTATAACTTATATGTAGGCTAATACACATAAACCATGAGTAAAATAAGTTTGGTGGGTCCCTTATTTCATTTAACACTTGAACAAAAGTCTAAGGGTTATAGGTCACAATAATAGGCTAATAATTATCTATATCTATCTATACAATAGCCTACCCTACCAAAAGCCGACGTGGAAAATGCACATGAACACCCCCTCATGTGGTATTTTCCACTGAGCATCTCGTAGAATATTTTGATGGACGAGTTGCCGAGATGAGATAACCTTTGAACTTTTCAAAATGGCGGAGAGCACCGCAAAAAATAAAATATATACTATTCATGATCTAGAAAATATATAGCATATTTACCTTTTGAGTTTTGATCAATCATTTTCTTGCTGTTGCAGATGATTTAAGCAATCTAAAATAGTTTTAGCTAAATAACAGGTCTGGATCTCCATCTTTTTACCACATTACGACAGCAAAAGCACTTGAACACAACACACTGGTAAATACCACTTCACAAGTGGAAAATATCCTATTTTCCATAGCACATGAACGCAGCAACACCCTCCCAGCTTGGGCCGACTGGGGCCTGATGGGTGGATTTTCTGGCCAATCAGAGCTGGAGGTGCTCAGAAATAACTAATTATGTACTTTTCTCTTTTACTTTGTTTGTTCCGTTCCGTTTTTTGCCTTTTTTTTCAGCGGATGATTTCATTTCCTATAAGATGTGAAATTTTAACAGAGTTGTATTTCTACAATGACCAAACTTGGCTCAATGATACCATGGAAAGATCTCAGGAACTTATAGCCTAACTGTTAATGCAAAGGACTTGGTTTGAGGGAAAAGCTTTTAAGTCAAGGATAAGGAGGAGTCTTTACAAATCGGATATTGAATCTGAATCTATTGAATATTGAAGTGATAAACACTTTTATTTTATTGTTTTCAGAGACAGGAGTTGAATTTTGCACTGTTTTTCTGTAATAACCTCTACTTCCTTGTGCTAGACCAAGACGGAACAATTGCCACATGTTTCTTCTAGACATGTCGGCTCAAACCGAATTGAGCAGCTTAATGTAAAACAAAGAGATTTTGAGCAACTAAAAATTAAGTTTCCACTGTAGGCCACTAATCAAATGTAAACCCATTAACTAAGAAGTTAACTCTTTTTGTATTGGTCTCAGACTGTATGCTGTAATCCATACTGTTGTAGGTTACATTCTCTTCTCATGATCCACCATACAGTTCAGTTCTGTGCTTGATTTGGTTTGGCCCGGACCAGAATACTTCTCTGAGATGTTAACCCTGCGTGAGCACAGCCGGTCGTTGCGGTCTTCAAAACAAATGGTTTTGGAAGTCCCAAGGTCAAAGTATAAGCGATGGGGTGATCAGGCATTTGCTGTTGCTGCTCCGAGACTCTGGAACAAGCTACCCCCTGATATTCGCACAATTGCTGATGAAACTAAACTTCAAACCCACCTATTTAGAATGGCTTTTAATACACAGTAGAGTTGCGACAATTTCAAGTCAAGTCAAGTCACATTTATTTATATAGCGCTTTTCACAATACAGATTGTATCAAAGCAGCTTCACAGTGATAACATGAAAGTAGTACAACACAGATCAATAATATTGTTAAATATTAACTATCCCCGACTAAGCAAGCCAAAAGCAAGGCGACAGTGGCAAGGAACCAAAACTCCATCAGATTGGATGGAGAAAAAACCTTGGGAGAACCCAGGCTCAGTCGGGGGCCAGTTCTCCTCTGGCTTACATTCATATTGTTTATATATAAATATTAAATATAAATATTGTTTATATATAAAACGGCGCCATAACATATCGCCGGCGTTGAGTCGTCTCATCACAGGCGTTGGGGCATCCGAAATCCCCGTGAGAGGCTGGATACAAACCTGGACCTGACGAACGCCATTTTTCTCGGGGCAAGCGTCCTGAGATAACAGCTGAAAGGCAGATGGGAAATAATTAGCATAGCTGATGTTCATAATGATTTCCATTATACGGGAGTCGGTGTTAGAAAACCACTATCTCACAAACTCTCACAAATACTTTTTCTAGTATTTTGGACATAAATGGAAGATTTGAAATGGGTCTGTAATTTGCTAAGTTAATTGCCGTTTCTTAATGAGAGGTTTTATTACTGCCAGCTTGAATATTTTTGGAACATGACATATAGGGGAGGTGTTCCGGGCACGTCCCACTGGGCGGAGGCCCCGGGGAAGACCTAGGACACGCTGGAAAGACTATGTCTCCCGGCTGGCCTGGGAACGCCTCGGTGTCCCCCCAGAAGAGCTGGAGGAAGTGTCTAGGAAGAAGGAAGTCTGGACATCTCTGCTTAGACTGCTGCCCCCGCGACCCGGCCCCGGATGAAGCGGAAGAAGATGGATGGATGGACCTAAAGATAAAGACGAGTTAATAATATTGAGGAGAGGCTCTTCCACTACAGGTAATAGTTCTTTCAGTAGTTTAGTGGGTATTGGATCTAATAAACATGTTGTTGGTTTAGATGCAATGATAAGTTTATTTAGCTCCTCCTGTCCTATCGTTGTAAAGCGGTTTAGTTGTTCTAGAGGGGCCATAATTGAAGTTGAATCATAAGACAAGACACCATAGAGGATTGTACATTTATGATTGTGTTTCTTTCTTTTTTCTCATTGAAGTAATTCATAAAATCATTACTACTAAACTGTAACGGTATATTTTGCTCTGGTGATGTCTGTTTATTTGTTAGTCTAGCCACGGTGTTAAATAAAAACCTTGGACTATTTTGGTTATTTTCGATTAGTTTGCGGAGATGCTCAGCCTTGGCTGTTTTTAGGGCTTTTACTGTCTTTCCACGCGATTCTAAAGACCTCTAAATTAGTTTGTTTCCATTTACGCTCTAAGTTGCGAGTTTCTCTCTTGATAGCATGCGTACCTCTGTTGTACCAGGGTGCTTTAGTTTTATCTCTAACTTTTTCTAATCTAATTGGTGCAACAATATCTAATGTACTAGTGAAAATGGTGCTCAAACTGCTAGTCATTTCCTCTAATTCATCTGTTTGTTTGGGTTCACTTAGCAGCTTAGATAGATCAGGTAAGCTATTTGAGAATCTATCTATAGTGGTTGGAAGGATTGTTCTGCCTGGTCTATAACGTGGCGCAACATGACATATTTCAGCAGTACGTATTATGCAAGTCACCATGTAATGATCAGTGACATCATCGCTTTGCGGTATAATATCTATATCAGTTGGAATGGTTCCATATGATATAATTAAATCTAGTGTATGATTTAGACGATGAGTGGGACCACTGACGTTGTGTTTGACCCCAAAGGAGTTCAATAAGTCTGTAAACGCAGCCCCTAAAGCATCATTTGTATTATCTACGTGTATGTTAAAACCTGCAACAATTATTGCTTTATCGACATTCACCAATAGATCTGAGAGAAAGTCTGCAAACTCTTTTAGGAATTCAGCATATGGCCCTGGAGGTCTATATACAGTAGCCAGGGCTAGAGATAATATGGATTTCCTTCTTACATCTAAGAGCGTAACATTTAGCACAAGTACTTCAAATGAATTAAACCTGTGACCTGTTTTCTGAGTAATATTAAAAATATCTTTATAGATTGTTGCAACACCGCCGCCACGACCGATTGGACGAGGCTCATGTTTATAATAGTATCCTGGTGGAGTAGATTCGTTTAGACCGAAATACTCATTTGGTTTAAGCCAGGTTTCAGTAACGCACAGAACATCGAAATTATTATCTGTGACCATTTCATTTACAATAACCGCCTTAGGTGTGAGCGATCTAATGTTTAGAAGACCTAGCTTTAGAAAATGTTTTTGTTCACTGATATTTAGATTTTCTGGTTTAATTACAATAAGATTTTTGCTAGATCCTACACTAGATTAATTGTTTGGCTTCACTAAACGAGGAATAGACACAGTTTCTCTATAATGTTCCACACTATGCATATTAGTTAAGTTTGGACAACAAAGGCTGTGATTTGGACTTTGACTTACCAGTCATCTGGTGCGTAACGTCTTGGAGATGTTGTCCGACAGAACAGCCGCTCCGATTCTGCTGAGGTGGAGTCCATCTGCATGGGTCTCTCCCAAATCAGATGCCAATTATTTACAAAGAGCAGTTTCTTTTCATTACACAATAACATTAACCATTCATTTAGTGCAAATAGTCTACTGAACACACTTTGCAGTTTTCCATTTTTTTGTCAAACAGTATTTGTATTTAACGTTACTGTCTTTCTGACATTATTATTACCTGTTCAGTAGGAAGGAAGCGGCGGACATCGAACAGGCACAGAAAAACTCTGAAGATGTCAAGTCACATTTATTGGGAAAACCCAGGATCTGTCGGCGGCCACTTCTCCTCAGGCCACTGAATACCTACCTACCTACCTACCTACCTACCCCCCCACCTACCCACCCACCTACCCATCAACCCACCCACCTACCTACCTACCCACCCACCTACCCACCCAACCTACCTACCCACCCACCTACCTACCCACCTACCTAACCACCCACCCACCTACCTAACCACCCACCCACCTACCTACCTAACCACCCACCTACCCACCCACCCACCCACCTACCTACCTACCCACCTACCTACCTACCTACCTACCCACCTACCTACCTACCTACCCACCTACCTAACCACCCACCCACCTACCCACCAACCTACCCACCCACCTACCTACCCACCTACCCGAACCCACCCACCCACCTACCTACCTACCCACCCACCCACCTACCCAGCTACCTACCTACCCACCCACCTACCCACCTACCTAACCACCTGCCCACCTACCTACCTACCCACCCACCTACCTAACCACCCACCCACCTACCTAACCACCCACCCACCTACCCGAATCCCACCCATCCACCCACCCACCTACCCACCTACCTACCTACCTACCCTACCCTAGGTGGGTAGGTAGGTGGGTAAGTAGGTAGGTAGGTAGGTGGGTAGGTGGGTGGGTTGGTGGGTAGGTGGGTGGGTAGGTGGGGGGGTAGGTAGGTAGGTAGGTAGGTAGGTATTCAGTGGCCTGAGGAGAAGTGGCCGCCGACAGATCCTGGGTTTTCCCAATAAATGTGACTTGACATCTTCAGAGTTTTTCTGTGCCTGTTCGATGTCCGCCGCTTCCTTCCTACTGAATAATAATGTCAGAAAGACAGTAACAAAAATGTAGAAAAAAATGGAAAACTGCATAGTGTGTTCAGTAGACTATTTGCACTAAATGAATGGTTAATGTTATTGTGTAATGAAAAGAAACTGCTCTTTGTAAATAATTGGCACCTACCAGTATCCACCTACCTACCTACCTACCTACCTACCTACCTACCTACCCACCTACCTACCACCAACCCACTCTGCCACCTTCCTGCCTTCCGCTGCATCCACGCTCCTCATCTACAAACAAGAGATCATTAAATATTAAAATATGAAAAAGAGGGGGAGGGGGGTTTTCTGTTGACCACTTAACTTGTATCATTAAGAATTATGTCAGTCTGTGCATTAAAGAAAAGCTAGTAAAAGCTCATTTTCTTCAGCGTTGTTTTATATGTGCGTCACAAGTGCATACAAAGTCTGTCTTAGTCTCTCAGCGGAATCATTGGATTACGTAGCTGCTATAATATATATATATATATATATATATATATATTATACAGAAACAAGCTTCCTATATATATATATATATATATATACATATTTATATATAGGAAGCTATATATATATACATATATATACATATATAGGAAGCTTGTTTCTGCCACAGAATAAAAAAGGTACTACTTTTTATCTCACAATTCTGACTTTGTGCGTGATATAAAGTCAGAATTGTGAGATAAAAAGTTGCAATTATCTTTTAAATTATTTTATTCTGTGGTGGAAAACAAGCTTCAGATATTTATATATAAACGCTAAATGAAATAAAATATAAATAACTTAAACTCATTTTGAGTTAGTTTCTGGACATTTCTCCTTTTATTTTGCTTACATTAATTAATGAAAACTATATATATATTTAAATAACAAAAATTAAAAAAAAAAAAACTTAAAAAAAGCACTAGGGATACTTTTACACAACAACTATTAAAAAGGGAAAATTTCTTCTTATGTTTTTATATATATATATATATATATATATATAGCTAATATAACTATATTAATTAATCAGATACCTGGACTTTCATCCGATTGTCTTTAATAGGCGGGAGTGTTTTGGGGCCCTTGGTATCAACAACAGCTTTGGCCTTTATCAGCTGAGAAAGAGAGAGAGACAGAACAATAAGCAACAGAAGAATAATCAAAGCTGAAATCAAATTAAACAAACTTATTTATATCAGCTATGGTTACTAACATTTCTAACATGTTTACTTCTGAATATTATATTTTATTCACGGCCATCATTCGTAGTAGCCTATTCACAAACTGTTTTTCAAAATGTTTTCCCTAATACCTTTTGTTGATGCATATGTCTTTGGTGCTGCTCTTCCCATTCCCTCATTGGTAAGAGAGCTGACGGCTTCCGCTGTGTGGGGGACGCAACCTGCTGAAATTAAAAATGAAGAAATAAACAGATAAATAGATATTCAATGTTTTTTTGTGTTGTAAACGCCTCTTTAAAAATAAATATCGCTCAAGTCCTGAGGAGCTAAACCATTTAGTGCTTTAAAATACTGATTTCGAACCCACTTGACATGCTGTTTTTCACAGGCATTAACAAGAGCAGCGTGAGCATCCACAATGTGTGCTATTGTGTTTCACAGAAGGGTTGGAAACATGATGAAGGCAAGAAAATGAAGAAGAAATTAGCTCCGCTTTATAAAGTGTGAATTACGATCATACCTGTTTGTTGGTCTCTCCTCGTGGAAACCTGGAGCAGTTGTCTCTCCATTGCTGTACCTTTTCCCAATCAGCTTCCCAGACGTCCCTCCTGAAACCTGATTCCAGCATCAGGATTCGCTGGTCATTCTGCTTGTTTTCCAGAGACATTTTCTTTTCTTTCTGCAACTGAAGACAAACACTGTTATTATCATGCATTTCATCTACTCCACGTTACTTCATAACACATCACTGTAATCGGCAATAGTACTGTTATAGAGCTATATATATATATATATATATATATATATATATAATATAGCTAATATAACTATATTAATAAATCAGATACCTGGACTTTCGTCCGATTGTCTCTAATATGAGGGAGTGTTTCGGGGCCCTTGGTGTCAACAACAGCTTTGGCCTTTATCAGCTGAGAAAGAGAGAGAGACAGAACAATAAGCAACAGAAGAATAATCATCAGCTGAAATCAAATTAAACAAACTTATTTATATCAGCTATGGTTACTAACATGTTTACTTATATTTTATTCACGGCCATCATTGTAGTAGCCTATTCACAAACTGTTTTTCAAAATGTTTTCCCTAATACCTTTTGTTGATGCATATGTCTTTGGTGCTGCTCTTCCCATTCCCTCATTGGTAAGAGAGCTGACGGCTTCCGCTGTGTGGGGGACGCAACCTGCAGAAATTAAAAATGAAGAAATACACAGATAAATAGATATTCAATGTTTTTTTGTGTTGTAAACGCCTCTTTAAAAATAAATATCGCTCAAGTCCTGAGGAGCTAAACCATTTAGTGCTTTAAAATAATGATTTCGAACCCACTTGACATGCTGTTTTTCACAGGCATTAACAAGAGCAGCGTGAGCATCCACAATGTGTGCTATTGTGTTTCACAGAAGGGTTGGAAACATGATGAAGGCGAGAAAATGAAGAAGAAATTAGCTCCGCTTTAAAAAGTGTGAATTACGATCATACCTGTTTGTTGGTCTCTCCTCGTGGAAACCTGGAGCAGTTGTCTCTCCATTGCTGTACCTTTTCCCAATCAGCTTCCCAGACGTCCCTCCTGAAACCTGATTCCAGCATCAGGATTCGCTGGTCATTCTGCTTGTTTTCCAGAGACATTTTCTTTTCTTTCTGCAACTGAAGACAAACACTGTTATTATCATGCATTTCATCTACTCCACGTTACTTCATAACACATCACTGTAATCGGCAATAGTACTGTTATAGAGCTATATATATATATATAATATAGCTAATATAACTATATTAATAAATCAGATACCTGGACTTTCGTCCGATTGTCTCTAATATGAGGCAGAGTTTCGGGGCCCTTGGTATCAACAACAGCTTTGGCCTTTATCAGCTGAGAAAGAGAGAGAGACAGAACAATAAGCAACAGAAGAATAAGCATCAGCTGAAATCAAATTAAACAAACTTATTTATATCAGCTATGGTTACTAACATGTTTACTTCTGAATATTATATTTTATTCACAAACTGTTTTTCAAAATGTTTTCCCTAATACCTTTTGTTGATGCATATGTCTTTGGTGCTGCTCTTCCCATTCCCTCATTGGTAAGAGAGCTGACGGCTTCCGCTGTGTGGGGGACGCAACCTGCAGAAATTAATTACCTGTTTAATAAATCAACTATCCCTTTAAAATGGTGTACTATGTCAATCAAGTGTAACGTCATAAACACTTAGAATTTCCCATAAATGCTGTTTTTTCATTTAAGTAATCCCTTAATAAGCGATAAGTGTTGCATAAAACCCCTTAATGTCTGGCAGGTTTGTGTTTTCAGCGCCATTCTCCTTTTTAAGCCCCGCCCTACATTTTTTCTTGTTCGAGAAGCTGTTGTGTTGACAAATCTGGTCCTCCCTTGAAATCGGGTTGATTTTTATCTCGATAACTTAAGCCTTAAATGCTTTTTTGTTGTAAACGCCTCTTTAAAAATAAAGCTCGGTCAAGTACTTACCATTTTACGGCCCCTCCTGTGATCTGACTCCTGCGTCATGATTGGCTGGTTGAGCTCCTCCTTCTTTCTCTGTGTGTTTACACTGTAAAACCAGATATATAACATTATCATAACATAACATAAATAACATTTTTATTACTTGTCAAATTAAATAGAATATTTTTTTTAATGTTTTACTTTATTTCAAAATAATTTCTACATCTTGTTTAGATGTTTTATATATACATGAGACGCAGCTCAAATAAACACCTCGCTGAGTTACTATGTTAACCAGCTACACACTGACGTCTGAGCACACACACACACACACACACACCTGAGCTGTGGGCAATGTTTCCTGTTGTCCACCAGATCTTTAGTGATTGCAGGAAGTTTTGTGGCCAGACGATGATTGTCCACAACTAATTTGGCCATTCTCAACTGAAACAGAGACAGAACAACATCAACATATAACTCATATAACTCAAACTGAGCGGCTCAAATCTATCTAAAAATAACAGGAACGTCTGTGTGTGTGTGTTTGTGTGTGTGTGATGGATTTCAGACTTGACTGGTGTCTTGCTACAGGTACAGTGACGAGTTTTACGTTGTTTGGATTAGCTATAAATGCAAAATACACTACCGGTCAAAAGTCTTAGATCAGTAATATTTTTTAATATTAAGTAATATTAATAGTAATATTTATAGTATTTATTAATTTATTTATAGTAATATTAAGACTCTTCTGCTCACCAAGGCTGCTTTATTTGATGAAAAAATGACAAAACAGTAATATTGTGAAATATTATGACAATTTAAAATGACTGTTTTCTATTTTGATATATTTTAAAATGTAATTTGAAAGCTGAATTTTCAACATCATCAGTTTTCAGTGTCACATGATCCTTCAGAAATCATTCTAATATGCTGATTTTATGCTCAAAAAACCTAAATTATTATTTTCAATGTTGAAAACAGTCGTGTACCATTTCCCCCCCCAAAATTCTGTTGAAGAGAAAGTTCAAAAGAACAGAATTTATTTAAAATATAATCTTTTCTAACATTATAAATGTCTTTACTGTAACTTTTGATCAATTTAACTCATCCTTGATGAATAAAAGTATTTTCTAATTTCTTTCCCCCAAAAATAAAAATTCTTATTGACCCCAAACTTTTGAAGGGCAGTGATTAATGTTACAAAAGCTTTCCATTTCAGATCAATTCTGTTCTTTTGAACTTTCTATTCATCAAAGAATCCTGAAATAAAAATTTCAAAAACTGTTTTCAACATGGATAATAATCATAAATGTTTCTTGAGCATCATATTATAGTCATTTCTGTAGGATCATGTCACACTAAAGACTTGAGTAATGATGCTGTAAATTCAGATTTGATCACAGGAATAAATTACACTTCACTATACATTCACATAGAAAACCGCTGTTTTAAATTGTAATAATATTTCACAACATTACTGTTTTTTGTGGTATTTTTTATCAAATAATTGCTGCCTTGGTGAGCAGAAGATACTTCTTTTAAAAACATAAAAAATCTTACCGATATAAAACTTTTGACCGGTAGTGTATATCAGTAAATAACTATATAAGAAGCACTTAGAAGGTTGTGGTTCAAAAATAATCATTCTGACATAAACACATAAAAAACAACAATTACTAAAACACACAAAAACTGATTTTGTTCGGGCACTTTGCACTAACTTAGATAAATTTCACGCTATATCAAACATAACGTTACTAAAAAAAGCAATTATAACTCCTTAAGTTACCTTGTCGTCGTCGGACAGGGTCCAGCTATTCTGAATACAGTTCACGGAAAGTTTCACAGACCGGTCGTTCATCTGGTTCTTCTTTCCTTGATGTTTGGACGTTTCAGAGTTCGTTATAAAAATATAATACCGTGCAGATTTCACAAATTCAATGTTCTTCCAAAGACGTTCGAAACCAAGCGGAGAGACAGTGAAGTGCAGTGGAGGCTACTGTGATGTCACAGGGCAGTGCAGCGAGAGGACGCCTTGGCAGACGGCCAACGCCCACGCACATCGTTTCTCTTAGTAGGATGAAAATAATATTATTTAAAGTGAAGTTTGATATCTGTCTTGCAGTTTTTTTTTTCTTGTTATTTTTTTCTTTTTTTCTGTCTTGCAGTTAACCAACTGTCACACGTGACCTCCCCTGAGGCGCCATCTTAGAGGGCATAACTTTTTTTTTTTTTTGAGTTAGTGGGTATACTCTTAATTTATGCCCCCAATATTTTTTTAAGCATCCCAGCAAAGGATGAACGCTCTGTGTTATAAACAGTGACATGTAAGACTACTAGTCTTGCATTAGTACTATTCAATATGCAAGAATATAGAATAGAGTATAATAAATACAATAGAACACATAGAATCAGTATTCTTGCATATCAGGGCCGCACATATGGTTTTCTAAATACCCAGGTCCCATAAATGATATTGTTAGGGGGGTTCGGGGGACATGATCTCGAAATTAGCATTTTAAGGTGTTTTGATGGTCAAAAAAAATGATAACAGTAGCTTTAAAAGCATGAAGTAGCCTATTTGATCAGATTCTTAAACATGATGAGAATCAGTTCCAGTTTCAGCTACTTTTCTTTCCTAAATGAATCTATGTCTTTTGGACTAATCTGTTAATTTAATTAACGGCTCACTCAAAAAGACAGTCTTGTCGCCACCCTCTGGCTTAATGATGCAAGTGGCGCAAACACAGACAACAAGATGTAAACAACACTGGTCCAGAAGCACTTCCTGTTTCAGTTTGTAACTGTTTTCTTTATTTCACATGTAAAGAAAACATCTTAAAGATGTTTGTTTAACTTTTTGATTCAGTTTTAAATGTTCTGTTGGTTGTATTTTATCCCAGCTTTTATGTAGCGTTAAAAAACTGAAACAGGAAGTGCTTCTGGACCAGTGTTGTTTACATCTTGTGAAATGGTCTATACAAACAGTGAAAAGTCAAACACATTCGAAAAAACGTTATACAAATATATTTTTTTTATTTATTTGATCATACACAATTTATATCTCAGTAATTGCTTAAAGAGGAGAAGACAAATTGTATTTTATTTTTGAAACTGTCTATTTCATGAGAAAACATTGTGTGTTTGTAANTACCTTTTTGTTGATGCATATTTCTTTGGTGCTGCTCTTCCCATTCCCTCATTGGTAAGAGAGCTGACGGCTTCCGCTGTGTGGGGGACGCAACCTGCAGAAATTAAAAAATGAAGAAATAAACAGATAAATAGATATTCAATGTTTTTTTTGTGTTGTAAACGCCTCTTTAAAAATAAATATCGCTCAAGTCCTGAGGAGCTAAACCATTTAGTGCTTTAAAATACTGATTTCGAACCCACTTGACATGCTGTTTTTCACAGGCATTAACAAGAGCAGCGTGAGCATCCACAATGTGTGCTATTGTGTTTCACAGAAGGGTTGGAAACATGATGAAGGCGAGAAAATGAAGAAGAAATTAGCTCCGCTTTAAAAAGTGTGAATTACGATCATACCTGTTTGTTGGTCTCTCCTCGTGGAAACCTGGAGCAGTTGTCTCTCCATTGCTGGACCTTTTCCCAATCAGCTTCCCAGACGTCCCTCCTGAAACCTGATTCCAGCATCAGGATTCGCTGGTCATTCTGCTTGTTTTCCAGAGACATTTTCTTTTCTTTCTGCAACTGAAGACAAACACTGTTATTATCATGCATTTCATCTACTCCACGTTACTTCATAACACATCACTGTAATCGGCAATAGTACTGTTATAGAGCTATATATATATATATATATATATATAATATAGCTAATATAACTATATTAATTAATCAGATACCTGGACTTTCGTCCGATTGTCTCTAATATGAGGGAGTGTTTCGGGGCCCTTGGTGTCAACAACAGCTTTGGCCTTTATCAGCTGAGAAAGAGAGAGAGACAGAACAATAAGCAACAGAAGAATAATCAACAGCTGAAATCAAATTAAACAAACTTATTTATATCAGCTATGGTTACTAACATTTCTAACATGTTTACTTCTGAATATTATATTTTATTCACGGCCATCATTCGTAGTAGCCTATTCACAAACTGTTTTTCAAAATGTTTTCCCTAATACCTTTTGTTGATGCACATTTCTTTGGTGCTGCTCTTCCCATTCCCTCATTGGTAAGAGAGCTGACGGCTTCCGCTGTGTGGAGGACGCAACCTGCAGAAATTAAAAATGAAGAAATACACAGATAAATAGATATTCAATGTTTTTTTGTGTTGTAAACGCCTCTTTAAAAATAAATATCGCTCAAGTCCTGAGGAGCTAAACCATTTAGTGCTTTAAAATAATGATTTCGAACCCACTTGACATGCTGTTTTTCACAGGCATTAACAAGAGCAGCGTGAGCATCCACAATGTGTGCTATTGTGTTTCACAGAAGGGTTGGAAACATGATGAAGGCAAGAAAATGAAGAAGAAATTAGCTCCGCTTTAAAAAATGTGAATTACGATCATACCTGTTTGTTGGTCTCTCCTCGTGGAAACCTGGAGCAGTTGTCTCTCCATTGCTGGACCTTTTCCCAATCAGCTTCCCAGACGTCCCTCCTGAAACCTGATTCCAGCATCAGGATTCGCTGGTCATTCTGCTTGTTTTCCAGAGACATTTTCTTTTCTTTCTGCAACTGAAGACAAACACTGTTATTATCATGCATTTCATCTACTCCACGTTACTTCATAACACATCACTGTAATTGGCAATAGTACTGTTATAGAGCTATATATATATATATATATATATATATAATATATATATATATATATAATATAGCTAATATAACTATATTAATTAATCAGATACCTGGACTTTCGTCCGATTGTCTCTAATATGAGGGAGAGTTTCGGGGCCCTTGGTGTCAACAACAGCTTTGGCCTTTATCAGCTGAGAAAGAGAGAGAGACAGAACAATAAGCAACAGAAGAATAATCAAAGCTGAAATCAAATTAAACAAACTTATTTATATCAGCTATGGTTACTAACATGTTTACTTATATTTTATTCACGGCTATCATTCGTAGTAGCCTATTCACAAACTGTTTTTCAAAATGTTTTCCCTAATACCTTTTGTTGATGCATATTTCTTTGGTGCTGCTCTTCCCATTCCCTCATTGGTAAGAGAGCTGACGGCTTCCGCTGTGTGGGGGACGCAACCTGCAGAAGTTAAAAATGAAGAAATACACAGATAAATAGATATATGGTACCTGTTTAATAAATCAACTATCCCTTTAAAGTGGTGTACTATGTCAATCAAGTGTAACGTCATAAACACTTAGAATTTCCCATAAATGCTGTTTTTTCATTTAAGTAATCCCTTAATAAGCGATAAGTGTTGCATAAAACCCCTTAATGTCTGGCAGGTTTGTGTTTTCACCGCCATTCTCCTTTTTAAGCCCCGCCCTACATTTTTTCTTGTTCGAGAAGCTGTTGTGTTGACAAATCTGGTCCTCCCTTGAAATTGGGTTGATTTTTATCTCGATAACTTAAGCCTTAAATGCTTTTTTGTTGTAAACGCCTCTTTAAAAATAAAGCTCGGTCAAGTACTTACCATTTTACGGCCCCTCCCGTGATCTGACTCCTGCGTCATGATTGGCTGGTTGAGCTCCTCCTTCTTTCTCTGTGTGTTTACACTGAAAAACCAGATATATAACATTATCATAACATAACATAAATAACATTTTTATTACTTGTCAAATTAAATAGAATATTTTTTTAATGTTTTACTTTATTTCAAAATAATTTCTACATCTTGTTTAGATGTTTTATATATACATGAGACGCAGCTCAAATAAACACCTCGCTGAGTTACTATGTTAACCAGCTACACACTGACGTCTGAGCACACACACACACACACACACCTGAGCTGTGGGCAATGTTTCCTGTTGTCCACCAGATCTTTAGTGATCGCAGGAAGTTTTGTGGCCAGACGATGATTGTCCACAACTAATTTGGCCATTCTCAACTGAAACAGAGACAGAACAACATCAACATATAACTCATATAACTCAAACTGAGCGGCTCAAATCTATCTAAAAATAACAGGAACGTCTGTGTGTGTGTGTGTTTGTGTGTGTGTGATGGATTTCAGACTTGACTGGTGTCTTGCTACAGGTGCAGTGACGAGTTTTACGTTGTTTGGATTAGCTATAAATGCAAAATACACTACCGGTCAAAAGTTTTAGATCAGTAATATTTTTTATGTTTTTAAATGAAGTCTCTTCTGCTCACCAAGGCTGCTTTATTTGATGAAAAAATGACAAAACAGTAATATTGTGAAATATTATGACAATTTAAAATGACTGTTTTCTATTTTGATATATTTTAAAATGTAATTTGAAAGCTGAATTTTCAACATCATCAGTTTTCAGTGTCACATGATCCTTCAGAAATCATTCTAATATGCTGATTTTATGCTCAAAAAACCTAAATTATTATTTTCAATGTTGAAAACAGTCGTGTACCATTCCCCCCCCCCAAAATTCTGTTGAAGAGAAAGTTCAAAAGAACAGAATTTATTTAAAATATAATCTTTTCTAACATTATAAATGTCTTTACTGTAACTTTTGATCAATTTAACTCATCCTTGATGAATAAAAGTATTTTCTAATTTCTTTCCCCCAAAAATAAAAAAATAAATTCTTATTGACCCCAAACTTTTGAAGGGCAGTGATTAATGTTACAAAAGCTTTCCATTTCAGATCAATTCTGTTCTTTTCAACTTTCTATTCATCAAAGAATCCTGAAATAAAACTGTTTTCAACATGGATAATAATCATAAATGTTTCTTGAGCATCATATTATAGTCATTTCTGTAGGATCATGTCACACTAAAGACTTGAGTAATGATGCTGTAAATTCAGATTTGATCACAGGAATAAATTACACTTCACTATACATTCACATAGAAAACCGCTGTTTTAAATTGTAATAATATTTCACAACATTACTGTTTTTGTGGTATTTTTTATCAAATAATTGCTGCCTTGGTGGGCAGAAGATATTTCTTTTAAAAACATAAAAAATCTTACCGATATAAAACTTTTGACCGGTAGTGTATATCAGTAAATAACTATATAAGAAGCACTTAGAAGGTTGTGGTTCAAAAATAATCATTCTGACATAAACACATAAAAAACAACAATTACTAAAACACACAAAAACTGATTTTGTTCGGGCACTTTGCACTAACTTAGATAAATTTCACGCTAAGTTATATCAAACATAAAGTTACTGAAAAAAAGCAATTATAACCCCTGAAGTTACCTTGTCGTCGTCGGACAGGGTCCAGCTATTCTGAATACAGTTCACGGAAAGTTTCACAGACCGGTCGTTCATCTGGTTCTTCTTTCCTTGATGTTTGGACGTTTCAGAGTTCGTTATAAAAATATAATACCGAGCAGATTTCACAAATTCAATGTTCTTCCAAAGACGTTCGAAACCAAGCGGAGAGACAGTGAAGTGCAGTGGAGGCTACTGTGATGTCACAGGGCAGTGCAGCGAGAGGACGCCTTGGCAGACGGCCAACGCCCACGCACATCGTTTCTCTAGTAGTATGAAAATAATCTTATTTAAAGTGAAGTTTGATATCTGTCTTGCAGTTTTTTTGTTTTTGTTTTGTTTTTTATTTCTGTCTTGCAGTTAACCTCATATGAAAAACTGTCACACGTGACCTCCCCTGAGACGCCATCTTAGAGGGCATAACTTTTTTCCTTTTTTTTTTTTTTTTGAGTTAGTGGGTATACTCTTAATTTATGCCCCCACTATTTTTTTAAGCATCCCAGCAAAGGATGAACGCTCTGTGTTATAAACAGTGACATGTAAGACTACTAGTCTTGCATTAGTACTATTCAATATGCAAAGAATATAAAGTATAATAAATACAATAGAACACATAGAATCAGTATTCTTGCATATCAGGGTTTTCTAAATACCCAGGTCCCATAAATGATATTGTTAGGGGGGTTCGGGGAATTATTTTTTAGATTTTCCTGATCTCGAAATGAGCATTTTAAGGTGTTTTGATGGTCAAAAAAAATTGACAACAGTAGCTTTAAAAGCATGAAGTAGCCTATTTGATCAGATTCTTAAACATGAGAATCAGTTCCAGTTTCAGCTACTTTTCTTTCCTAAATGAATCTATGTCTTTTGGACTAATCTGTTAATTTAATTAATGGCTCACTCAAAAAGACAGTCTTGTCGCCACCCTCTGGCTTAATGATGCAAGTGGCGCAAACACAGACAAGCGGAGTTATACAAACAGTGAAAAGTCAAACACATTCGAAAAAACGTTATACAAATACATATTTTTTTATTGATTTGATCATACACAATTTATATATCAGTAAGTGCTGAAAGATGAGAAGACAAATTGTATTTTATTTTTGAAACTGTCTATTTCATGAGAAAACGTGTGTTTGTAATTTAGCAGGAAGAAATGAGAGCTAACAGAAAAAAAAGTGCAAAATTGTCGTTTATTAACACAATTAAACTATAGCTACTCCACCTTGATGAACCCCCCTAAGAAAACTATAAGCTCCATTGAAACAGCAATACCAGTGTTCCTCACAGGATTTTAGGTAAAACTATGGTAGGTGGACCTCTGTTTCTCTAGGGGGGTTCGGGGGCATGCTCCCCCGTAAGAAAATTTTGTGTTCTGTAATATTAAATTCAGCAGTCTGGTGCACTTTGAGAGTTCAAAATTAAAAGCTCCAACCCATATTCAGGGTGCAAATTAAACAAAGAAAAATTTGAACCTCTTTTAGTTAGTGTCTGTCTACATTACACTACTACATAATAATAGTAATAATATTAATTCCATGATAGTAATAGCCATAAAGGCTATTGTAAAACAAATGCACAGAAAAATAAAGGAAACTTTCATAATTAGTTTTGCACTAATTTCTATACTTGAAAGATATAAGCGCATAATGACATATTTCATGGGCCAGTGTGTCAGAAAAAAAAAAAAACTAAAGCTGACTTTTTTACGCCCTTCACCTACTAGATCCTACCCTTTTGTCTACAGTCTTTACCAGAGTCCAAACCATTTTAGCCTCACAGCATGTATTTTTTGAGAGCTGCCTTTGATTAGCTGAGTCTGATCAGGCACAAACATTGTGTTGGCACCTATAATGAGCCTATGGATATAGATAGAATATGAATGTTTAAATATACAGAACTATGCAAAAGTCTTAGGCATGTTAGATTTTCATTCATATATTTTTTTAGGAGACTGTGAGAAAAGGATGAAAGATAGAAAAGACTCTGGGTGAATTTAAAAAACACCATTGTTGTTTTATTATTTATCCAATTTGAAATGTGAAATCGAACCTGATTTTCTGTTTAAAGAATTTCCAGCTGTCAGTGAACTTCTTGACGGGCTTTAAACCCACTGTAACATCTGGTTATAGTTATGTAACACTAAATGGTGCAACATGCTGTAATATAATACTTCCATGGGTGAAATTCCCAAGTTGCTGCTATAATAAACTTTCTCCCCACACACACATGCGCTGTTATATCCAAATCCTTGTTTTACATCTTTTCCATTTTATTCATTTGTCTGACCTTTTTTCTTAAATAGTTGCCATGTATTATCTGCTTGTTAACTAGAACTGAAAATACAGTGATAGCATGGATAGTCCCTCAGTTGTTGATGGCATGCTTTGCTCAAGGACACCCTCATAGGGAATGAAACTTGCATTCCTTTTGCTGGCAGCCATAACCATACCTCAAATTTGATTAAAGGGCAAAAATTGATCAATATTAGATTCTCCCAGGCAATCTTTAGCATCTTGTAAATGTTTTTTTTCCCCCCACACATATTTATTCACTGACTTGAATGAATTAAACGCAGCATTTTGCTTGAACATCTGCAAGGAAAGCACACAGCTTCTAGTTTCAGCTAACCGATCGCAGATATTCCTCACAGCTGGGCTGTTTTTAATGAAGGCCTGGTTGATGCAGTCATTTGTTACTGCATGTGGCCTGCATTAAACATCTGGGAAATTACATTTCTGTTTGAGTTAAGATTTACATAAAGTATGTTATGAACTATCTGCTAAAGTAAACAGAAATCGCTCACTGCTTAGGCCTACTAAGTAAGTACTATCCAAGTAGTCCCATTGTCAAAATGGTTCCGGTTAAATGTTCACTTCATAAACGCACACCTGTGAGCATCAACTGCTCGCTATATTTACTGCAAGAAATGTCATCATGTCTTTTTTGCATTCGTTATAAATGAAAAATGAGGGCATGTTTTATAATGCCACAGTACTTTTTTAACAGCCGACGAAGAAGCACAAGAAACAAATCAAATGACACCAGGAAGATATTAGTCATGCCCTGTGGGCTCGTTTTTTATAAATACCAGCTACATTTTAATGTGCGACCTCATAATTGTGTCACATCAGTAATTGAGGCATCAGTTTCCCAATGTTCTGTGGATAAAGACCCTTGTTAGTGCCTGAATTCATGTTTACACTAGGGAGCAGGGCCGTGCAGAGACCTCTGGAGGGGCAGGTGCTCAAAGTATAAAATGGGGCACATGGAAACAAGGCTTTATAGGGCTGTGCTCAAAATATCAATACAGTAATATATCAATACAGATGATTCTGCATCGATACAGCAGCAAATGCATTGATGGAGTTTTGAAAAAGAACCAGAACAGAAAAGACAAATTTAAAGTTTAAAATTAAAAAAAATAATTGATGTGCTCTATATATAACTCTGGGATTAGAAACTGAAGCATCTTAAGTTGTTCCAACCTGATGGCTTTTTCTTCTCTGTTATACAGAATAATAAAGAACAGCTGTTATAGTGAACTGTGTAGGACAAAATCAACCTGGCCCATGTTTCGTGCAGTACAGTATAGTTTTATTTAATGGCATATCAGCATCTGTGGCTATTTTCATGGCAAAAACTGATTTACAAAAATACAAGAGTTACATTTTATACAATGAAAATAAAAAACAAAGCAAACAGAAACAGCAATTAATACTTTACAAGATTTTTAACATTAATGTGATGCCTGTTCTAAGTGAGTTTGCTGCCTTTGCTGTTGATGTTGTTACTGCTGCTGCTGATACTGCTGGAGTTGATCTGAGACTGTAGACATTAAAATAAACAGAAATATAGGGTATTAGCTGAATAAACCATTTTTATGTGACCATGTCAAGATGTAAAGATTGCTGACAGTGTTTGGAACTGGCTCACTAGTTCACTGACCTGCTAAAGCTACAGATTCTGCCCAGGCTGCTAAAGTATATAATACAATAATAGTATATAATAGTAACGTTACTAGGGCAGATGTTCACAGAGACTTCTGCACACAAAACATAACTGGTAAGCCTATGTGATAACTTACCGTTGTGATAATCATTTTTATGTGAAAATATTTTTTTAAATAAATACTGTAATAATAATAATAGTTTAAAGTAAAAATAATAGTTTTTAGTCAAATAACACCCCTCCACGCCCGTGAAACTTTTCTCCCTCAAACAGCAAGCTAACGTTACTTCTACAGCCTACACACAGCAATACAAACGACATCTCTCTGCATGCTCTCTTCACGTCGTTCTAGTAAAATAATAATAATAAGTAAACAAACATCAAAATCACTTCGCTGAGAATAAAACACCACTTACCAGCAGCCGCAAGACTTGAAGATATCCTCTGGGAATGCGCGATTGCGCGTAGCCGCGCGAAATTAAAAAATGCGCGTGCAGCGTGAGGAATCAGGTGAAAGGTCATCATGTGGGTCATTTTATTTACGGCTAAATTATTATTCATTTTACTACTAGTTAGATGGGGCAGGCATCCACAAAAGTGCCTTTAAATACAAAAAAAGGAGAGGAAATTTTGTCTTGACAAAAGGGCACTTTGGGCACCAAGGGGCAAAAGGGCAGGTGCTCGAGCACCCAACGCCCCCCCCTCTGCACGTGCCTGCTAGGGAGGAGAATAAGACACAGCTTAAATGTTCAGACTGGAATACTACTATTTACACCATGCAGTGCAGTCATATTTATTACAAAAAAAGCAATACAGTATATTGCATATTTAATTTAATTATAAGAGATAAAATGTGCATTGGAATTTCTGGGGTTTATTCTATTATAACACTTTTGTAATATTTGTATAATACTTTGAATTAGCTTTTATTTTTATATATTTCGATTTTCATTTTACATTTTGTTGTGCTATGCTTTTCTTTATAGTTTTAGAATTTTTTAACACTTCTTTTTAACTTTATTTTTTAATTCAGTTTTAGTAATTTTAGTACTACTTGAAGCTTACTTTATTTCATTTTTTTTAATTTTTAGTTGCCAAGGCAACGTTTCTAATTCATATTTAAGTTTTTAATCTGATATTTATCTTTTATTTTATTTCAGCATTCTGATTTTATTAGTTTTAGTTAAATAAATAATTGTTCTGTCATCATTTACTCTCCCTCAAGTTGTTCTTAAAGGATTAGTTC